AGTATAATATACATCGAATTACAATATATTTGGGATTAGTGACCAATTGTTATACAATGGTAAAAATTTTGACAGTTTATTACACTTGAGGACCACGCTTCAAAACTTGATTTCATAGTTTATTAATGTTTAAGAATTAGTCTTAGTATCGAATCTAAGCCCTTCCAAACATTTTCATAAATGTAAGAAATTGAGACTTGATGGATACTAAAAATGAACTTTATAACTCCAAAAACACTTATTAGCACATTCTAACTTGATTTTACATTTTTCTAATTATTAATCACTGAACAAACTTTCACTTACGCTATAGTCTCTAATATGTTAATCATTAACAGATTAATGAATTATGTTTTATTCTAGTGAAAGATAATCAAAAAATATGTTTTTGTTTCCTTTCATATATCAAGCAAAAATATTCTATGGCTTCATTATTCATATAAATCTAATTTGTTGAATTTTCAATGATTTGCAGTATGCTCCATGGCTTCATCAAGCTATTTTTCATTTTCTAATATTCAGTAATAATTTAGTACCCTGATGCTCAGAGACTAGTAGTATTACTACCCTCTTACTAAGATCACACTTTTACAGTTTTGATGCCAATGAGAACTTAATCTTAATGACCCCAAATGTACAGCTATACTGGCTGAATTTGAATGTGAAATATGTGCCAGCTACTTCTGAACTGCAATTCCATGTGGTAAGCCACACCTTCTCTATCTCTGTCCTTCTGGATGCGATGCACAGTAAGATAAAGAGAGATCCTATGAACATCAGAATGCTGCAACTCTGACTGGGTTCTTCTATTCTGATGTTCTTAATTTCAAGACAAAGGATTATCTAATATTCAAAGAGTATAGATGCAGCATTTTACAAGCAAAATCAAACTACTGAAAGGGTAATATTTCAGTGCAGCTGGAATTAAATTGAAAGGTAAAATTACTATAAATTGCAATAACATTTGGGTATTTACCTCTCATTGATCAGAGAGCACTTAAGGTATACAATAAATAAGTCTTTATTTGCACAAAGTATTGCATTAATAAGTAACAGGTTGGATACAAACTTGTTACAAAAAGTTAGTCAAGGGACATAATGTATATGTCAGATAAGCCATTAGGCCAGTGTGCTTGGATATCATAATATAAGGATCATATTATTTCAAGATTGACTATCATTGGTGATTTATAGCTTGTTATTTTCTACTTAAGTACTAGGTCTAAATCTTTTTATTTGGGACACATGTAGGATACACTAAGGTAAGGTGGTGGATTATTTTTCATTTCATAGTACGGGTAATAGTTCTAATCTTAAATGAATGACTATTGGAAAGTTTATTGCCATTAATCAAACTTTTATCTCAAATTCACTTCTTAAACAATGGGTAACTTTATGATTATGGAGTTATACATTGTGGGCATTAGATATAGGGTATATTTCTTGGAAAATATTGATATCTACCCTCTGTCACATATTCCAAAGGATATAATTTCTCAACTGAGCGCAATGAGGAACTGACTTCTTCAAAACACAGGAAATCATTGATATTTGCATTATTCAATATTACAGATTTATGACCACTGATTCAGAAATGAGGAAATTGTTACCAAATTAGAACTTTCAACTTGGCAAACATTTATCTGTTAAATATTGATAGGACATGGACTGTTATTTACTTTGCACAATAATTGATAATGAAAGGTTACTGTGTATTAGTAAATGTAACATTTACTACAGACTTGCAACAGCTTATTACTTTTTTTATTTTTTCATTGGAATTAATAAGCCAATGAAACAAATTGAGCTAGTTTACATTTTCAAGCACTCTATGTATGATTTCTAAATTCTGATTCAGATTTTTCGATGATTTTGCAAAATTTAACTTTCAATATTTTATTTGGATTTTAGATAAAATAATTTCAATGTGAAGTACAGTGTAGCATACAGACAGAACTGAGGACTGGCTGTTAATTTCCTGTAGTATAGTAAAATATCATTGTGACTACTCTTTATATAATTTTGACGAATTCATTTCAAATTAATGGAAAGAGCACCATATACAGTTTAGATGTATTTTCATTTCTGAGCAGTTGATGGATGCAAAAGCAAACTGATGAACTTTTCACTTTTTGTTATCAGTTTATATTGATTGCTACATAGTGAGTCATTGATCAGTTACTATAGGGGTAGATAGTTAACAATAGTTATACCTACCCTGAATTTTCATTGCTTAGCCTTTCGACCCTCTGATATTTATGGGTGATTTTGCAGTAATGATACAGTTAAGATCTTAATGATCTCAATGAAAACATCCATGGCCTTTTATGGGAGTTAAAACATGCAGGAAATGTAATGTTGTCATTTTACCAATATACTTTATTAGACACAATCATTAAATTCTCTTGATTTTGAAGAGTATAGACCACACTTAGCTCTTGCAAAGTGTAGGAAATACCATCACTGCTACCAGAATTCCCAAAGAGTGTTTTACGTTGATCCTGCCATCTTAGGGTGACATGTAATTGATGAGATAATTGCTGTCCTCACTTGGTATTTTACATCCATGTTTTGTTTTACCATACCCCAAAGGATATTACTTATTGGATCTTTTGTACGAGTCATAGAGTGTTTTTTAAATGAGGATTCAAAAGCACAGGTGGTATCATAAAATTTCATAGTTATTAGTTGTGAGATCATTTTAGGTCATGAAATCCTGAAATGGTAGGCTAGATAATAGATATGGATATGATACAGCATAGGAGGATCTAACAAAGGGAGGTGGTAAGTCTATATAATTGAATGGAGGAATTGCCAGAATGTAATTTGTTGATACTGTGCCTTATACTGTAACTGATCTAATATGTGCAGGTGGGTGGTAAGTGCATGGCATTGATAAGTCAGCCAGAAAGGTGATAGATAAACACAAACAAACAAAGTTACTTATAGCACAGGGATGACATCATGAATTGATTTAACTCTCTCTTTCTCTCTTTGCTTTCTTTGGAATTTATACATTTACATGCTCATATTTGATAATGATAAAGATGAATGAATTGAAATCATTAAAAAATAATCAATCACACATCAAAGCAGTTTGCATCTTCTCATATGGCCCCACAGAGACTGGGACTCATTTCTGCCAATACGTGCTTCCCTGTTCATATAGTGAGCCTTTGATAACTTTTCTTCTTTTGACATAAAACTGGAAAAAGGATTCCTGGTTATGCCAAACCTGTATGAAGACGTTTCTAAATTACACCCATGTGGGAACAATTTTTGGCACCATTATGTAAAGGTTCCATCAACTCCTACTGCTATAGGAAATTGTAAATACAGTATTAACACCTTTTTAACTGGAATAACACTTCTGTTCACTTTAGATTGGTTCTTGTACTCATATATTGCATAAATGCTATCCCAATTGTGAAATAAAATTTGATGCACATCTCATCTTTCTGTTTTTCTCCCTTTTACTACAAAGGATTTAAGGTTCACCTTTCACTTTCAAAGTTATGTCATGGGAGAGAGATACCTGGGGCCGAGAGCTTCACAAATTGACCTTTTATTGACCTATAATGGGTTTTGATGGGCATTTGGCATGTACTGTACCACAAACACTCGAATCTGTCTCTTCCTCTTACTGCATCCTTCTATTGGTGTTTACTTTTCATCTCTGCTGTTTGTCTAGTTTAATTATTGGAGTCACCTCTAATGAGATATTTAGGATATCTTGCTTATCAGTCTGTGGATGACAGTGTGATGCCTTTGCTGTTTAGACTTGCTGTAGATCAACTACAAATACATATGTGTAAGGCTTGTAAGTGGTGGGAGGGAGGTCATTTTCAGGGTCAGGGGGGTTTTCATCTCCATCTGTAAGGAGATGGTAAAGAACTTGATGTGCCCATCATTATAAGCAACACCTCCCATATGGATGTATAATTTACCAGCGATGGATAAGAGTCTGGGATTTGAGGGTATGATGATGTGCTTTCAAGAGAAAGCCCATGGTCTTGTAAATCAGAATGGTTCAAATCTTAAGTTTAAAAAGTTTGAAAATCCTGGACTTGTTTTTTCTTCTGGAAATCACCTTATAAACGTTTAAATTACATTTCCTGAAATAGAGCATAGTGTTGAACTTTTAGGATACTAGGAAACAAACATGATAAGGAATGATATAAGCAAAAAGGATTGTCTTAGTTTTAAAAAAGATTCCTCTATTATAGATTTATTGGAAATGATGTCCTTGTAAATTATTTAATATAATACTTCAGATCTGTTTAATTCTTGTAATGTCTTTCTCCAAGTGAATCTATGGAGTTATCTGTATTGTACTCATTATCAAAACATATTTGTGTCTTACTCTTATCCATGTGTGGCTATTGGATTTCTCCAACCAGGATATCACGCCCCTGCTTTTGACGCAAAGAGTTTTAGTTGTTATTTCAAATTGAGATCTTCTGGCATCTCATTAAATGTCTTAATGAACACACTTCCTGTCAGACAATTTATATATGGACTATGGATGTACTGGTGGCATATCAGTATAGAGTATTGAAGAAACTATAGAAATAACAAGTAATTATCTAGAGGCTATTGAGAGGTCAGCAAGGCATTTTCATGGACAACAATTTTATCAATTTTCTGCATCTTTGGAGATAGAGTTAGGAAAGCACAGCCAATTTACAAATATTATATTGCTAAATGTATGTCTGAAATTTTGTATTTGAAGAATTAAGAAAATCTGTACTTTATATTTGGATCATATTTTGGGAAAAATCAATTCATATACGATTGTTATTCTTGATTAAGATACCAATCTCTTGAGGCATTTCATTTGCATTTGAAAGTTTTTCCATTTGTATAAAAAATCTTAAGTAGAGTCAAATAGGGACATTTATTGGAGACATAAACACTTGAAAATAAATAACAAAATAAAGAAGTTGTTGAAAACATTATTTGACAATTTAATTTTATAGCCACCATTGATACTACAAGACATTTGGTCTATGAACGTTTGGAAATAGCTTTATTATAATCAAATGAAATATTTATCGTTTGCAGGCTGATGCATTTATTAATTGACATTTTTCTTCACTGCTTGCAGGTTGTGAAAGTCAGAAGAAACATCACAGGCTAACACGGTGCAGTTAATCCTGAATTAGTGATTACTACAAAAATATTTACTGAAAGATTCAAAGGATATCATATCAAAAGAAAGTCTCTATTGGATTTTCTATTAGATTTAGGTGGAGTTACTTAACGTATTTAACAGTTATCGCCAGTTTACATAGGAGGATGTGTTAATTGTGGAATCGGAAACAAAGAGAGCGGTAATTGGGATTTGTAAATTTGACCAGATCTCCGAAGGTCATTTGGAAACTAAATATCCCCAGGGGAAATCTGAGTTAACATTTTAGCACATTGTTGTTCATTCCGCATTAATATCTCGAGAGAGCATATCTCGAGATTAGGAAAAATAACACAAAAACGAAAGGTGAATATCCGGATTATATTTTGCAAAGGCAAAAATACATATGTGGCCAAGCAGTAAATCGTCAGAAGGAGATCGAGTGAGCAAATTATACTCATTCGGATTTGATGAAAAAGAATCAGAAGATTGCGCAATGTGTTATGTAATAGTGACTTGTAGGTCCATGTTATGGACATTATTAACTGTAGCGGCAACGTTAGCTATCGCTGCCGCATTAATCACGCCACAATGGCTGATAGGAACAGAGCGCCAACCAGGCCTCAAATCACGCTCAAATCTTACAACAGACAGTATAGACAAATCAAATGCCTTTAAGCCAACTATTGGCATCTATAATAGATGTACCAAGGAGCATCATTTTAGGGACTTATACACAGACAAATGTGCTCCATTTGTGGACAATTTTTTCACAATGCCTGATAGTGAATTCCCACATTTCTGGAAGGCCTCATTGGTGATATTTATACTGGCAATTATGTTGTTGGTTTTCACAGTGTTTACAGCGGTCATCAGCTTATGTGTAAGAGCAATGTGTCGGAAGAGCATCTTCACTATCTCAGGTCTAATACAGAGTATAGCAGGTATGGATACTCATATTTTCATTATCATTGACAGTTGTGGAAAAAATGAACTTATCTCATTATAGTGATATACCCCCCTCCCTCCGTTTAAAGTTGAAAATGTTAATTTGCCTTTCATTTTAATTTTTCAACAATATCAACATTTTTAACAATAAGATTTTGCTCACTACACCAGAATTAGACTACAACTACACTTTAGATATGAACTATAAAAATAATCCAAAAATTCAAGTAACTAAAGTCAATGGGTGTAAAATTTAGCATGATAGCACGATAAAATATTTCTAAAATGCATTTAATTTATTGCAGGACTTCTGCTGATCGTAGGCTTGGTGCTTTACCCAGCAGGTTGGGGGTCTCAGAAGATCAAGAATCTGTGTGGAGATGATGCTAGTGCATTCAACATAGCTGGCTGCTCACTTGGTAAATATCTTGTCACTTTGTTGCTTTCACAGGATGGATCTTCTTCATCTCTTCAATGCCTCTTCCAGAGCTACGCTTGTGGGGGATACTGGAGTCTGGGGGGGGGGCAGGGTGTGCAAGGGGCTTGATATAAGCATTTGTACAATAAGAAAGCTCAAAGGGCAATATTATAAAATTCCAAAACAGCACATTAAATGCAATTTAGATACATCTGATATAGAAGTTGATGCCTGTTCAATTATTCATTCATTGTGATAACAGTACTGTATTTTCCAACATCTTCTGTAATTATAATTGATGAGCCTCAACTAGATACCATCAATTTATCACATATTTTGTCAAAATAACCTGTTTTTATAAGGAATACTATACTATGATTTATACTGTAATTTATTTGTCATTTTTGAACAGCCATGATGCCTTGTGTATCGGGTACTTCTTATTTTATTACTAGATGAATAACGTAGATCTTATGAGGGTTATACCACTTGTAATTTTAAATGTACCCAGTATATACTTATTGGCTGTGGGATCGACTAGGCGTCTGTCCGTCCATCAGTTTGGTCCATCCATCCATCAATATTGGCCGCACAAATTAAAACTGCTATTCGTATTGAGTCATATCCATATTCTTTTTATGCATATCCATAATGCTTATTTGACCTGTCAATTGTCATCACCTTTCCAAGTTTGCCCGGTTTCCAAGAAATTGCTGATTTTGACGTCAAATTTTCTTTAAATACCAGACACTTTGAAATTGCATTTAAGTGATTAAATTTCAAATAAGTGAAGTCAAAGCTGACCGTAGTTTTGAGATTTGACCTTTACTCAACCTGCAGTGACCTTCGAAAGGTCAAAAAAGTTGATTTTTCAAATCGATTTTTTGGATTCAAATTTTGGTCAGCTTAATCACAAAAACCCTACTCAGCTCTGAAAAAGTAAAATTTTCCAGGTCAGTGGTCAAGGTCATCAAACTAGGTCACAAACTGTGCTATCTAAGTTTCTCAAAGTTCGAGACAAATCAATTTTTTTGCTTGAAAGTCCTCTAAAGGTTCTACGGCCGTGGGTCCTTTATGACTATCTTATTATATAGTTTTTTAGTATTATATTTTAGATAGCAGTGTAGTCGGGTAACAAATCCTATGAAGAGTTATTCATATTATAAACTTATTTTTTTGTTTTAGGTTGGGCTTTCTATTCTATGTTAGGAGGAACACTTCTTGTGTTTAGCTGTGGGTTCCTTTCGATGCAAGCGGAAAATTCAACATCCAGTGACAAAGTGGAATACGAAATTTTGCAAGGCAAACGAATGATATGCCTTTTATAGTCTACTAACTAGGTTCACACATACAATGGACACAGAATGTACTGAAAATAGGTTGAAAAGATGGAACCAATATGAATGTTCAAATACCCATACTAGTGACATCTTTTAAAGTATAGTATTTGATATCAAAATGACACCTATAGGTTTCAGGAGGGATTATTTTCTTTCGAAGCTGTAGATAGTTGTGCAATTAACTCACTTTATTGTTGTTTTCTTTTAATTTATTTGTCTTGTAGATTTTTTGTTGTGCATGATTGAAATATATGTTGTCTTGCAGCTCTGTGTTCACATATTTGTTTTCCTTTTAAAAATGCAGTATCACTTTTATTTCTAACCACCACATTTTTGATATGATTCCAATCATGAAGTACGTGTATGTGCCTACAGATCAGTTCCAAAAGGCAAAAATGAATTGAGAAAATCTAAAGAATTTTAGATATTTTAGCATAAACTTGGCATTTTTTAATACTTGAAAAGTTCTGTACCTTTAATGGGTATCTACAATCTAACAATACTTGATCTGTATCAATAACTTGAGCTGGTCTGTAGCTAAATAGACACATGCATTTACATGTACAGTAATGCAGCTAGAAAAGCACCTTGTGGATTCTTGTGGTTGACTGTTGTCATGTCTTCATTTATTGTGTTACTATGCAGGGGTGTACCAGGATCAAAAAATAGGAAAGGGAAAACTTAACCCAAATTGGATATTTTTACTTCTTTCTATGGGACATAATTTTCAGTTTAACTTACACCTACACCAATGCATGTATTGTAGAATAATAACTGTCTTGTCACAATTTAGTTTTTATTTTAGTTTTCACAATCATTTTTATTTTAGTTTTTAGAATTGCTGTTGTTTTTATTTCATAGATTTACAGGGTGGGCTAATAAATACAGACGTTTTTTGGCCTACCCTTTATATTGCTAATCCTCATATGCTTGCAGTGCACATTTCAGTGTTGTATTTCTACCCCACATTTTGCCTTCACATTTATTTCTCACATTATTATTTCATATACCAGGCTGGGCTTTCTACACATGTGTCGGGGGTACAGTTGCTGTGTTTATTTGTGCTACACTCTCAATCCAAGCAGAAGTGGCGACCTCCAGTGATAAAGTTGAGGATGACATCTTACAGGGAAAACACCTCATATGTTTGCCATAATTGGCAATGTAATACAATTTGCCAAAATTCAAGGTGAAATCTATGGAAGATAAAAATCTATGGTTGCCATTTCCAGACTTTATCAAATATAAAGAATATTGGAGAGTCGGGATTGTATTAAACTTCCACCATCACTTAGGATCTTGTACTTAATATAATGAGAACAATGGGATGTAATGGGAGTTGATGCAAGACTGTGTTTAGTGTAGTCATGTAGCATGCATGCTTTTTTACTAAAGTTTTATAGTTTGTTGAACATGTGAAGTATTAGACCCAATTATTGTACAAAGCACTACAGCTGTACATGCTGCATCAATTTTGATATCAAAGAATTCCGGTAATACTAAATCAGAAAAATAAAACCCAGTGAAAACAACTACTTTTAGTGTTGAAATTACTGCCTTTGTACATAATATGCTAAGCAGCTGTATAAAAATAATATGAACAATTTCAATTACTTTTGAAATATACAGGTATCTTTTGATGAAATCCATGTGTTATCTTTTATTGCATTTTGTATTGTTACTGACAAAATAATATGTATCAATACAAAAAGCTGGTATTCACAAAAGAACTACTGTATGAGCAAAATATCCTTGCTACAGGTTTGAAAGATATTTCACATTGATTATGACAAAATATTCAAATTTACGGGCCAGTTTTGTGAGAAATTGTATTTTGTGAAAGTTATGAATTCCTACATAGTTTCTGTATATTTTAATCCATTATTGTATCAATATCATGTACAGTAACAGGGGTGTTCCTGTAAATCAAGAGGGGGGGGGCAAAGGTTTCGAGCCAAAATTTTGAAATTTTTGGCCCAATTTCTTAGAAATTAGGCCCAAAATTTAAACAATAATGCACAGTATTGTCACTTTGTTATCTAAATTGTCCAGTTTGTGTGTGTAGGAGCAGATATTTGGCTCTACAACTTTTTGGGGGCCTTGTGGACTGCCCCCTCCTCCTGAGTAATTGTTACTGTAACAGTGTACTACTTTTTCAAGTTGCTTTACACTATTGCATTTTGAATGTACCTGAACACCAATGATACTATAAAAGCATCTTCTTGGTGTTTAAAGGGGATGAGAGACCATGGGCTTTCAAGAGAACATAGAGACAGATGTCTGACGTCTTCATTCCCTTCAATCACTAAACCAGAGAAAATTATGAATAAATAAAAGTGAAATCTTTAAGTGAACATGTACATAAACTATAAAATACTGTATATGGAAATTGATATTCAGACACAATATCGTAAAATGAGAGCCACTTTTAGACTTAGTCCTCTCATGAGTCTATTGTTGTTTGTGTATAATTACGTGGAGTAAGTTATTACACTAGAATACCTTGTTAAAAGACCCAATGGTAGTATACCATATCTTACAACTTTGCTGTCATTTTAATGAATTTCTTTCTGTAATTTACGATACAATATTATGTACATATTGTATAATTAGGTCATTCTTGTTTCATGATAATATGATAAAACCTGACAATGCTTTATATTCAGTAACTTTCTCAATATTTTTATTCATGGGTTATGTTTTTAGGTCACCCTGTATTTTGGAGGGAAAACAATGAAAATGTTCATTTGTTCAACCCTTATATCTTCTTTTTATCCACACAATACTTACTAAGATGTGAAAAAGTAAATGCAAATATAATATTTCACTGTACATATAGAGCTTCACAATCATAAATACATATTTAATTGTATTTTTGTTATGCAATCATTAGTTTATATTCATTTCTAGTCTATACGTATTTCAAAATTGCATGAGAAGGGAAATGGTGTTTTATATTCCTACTTGTATGTTTTTAAAAACAGACAAAAATAAATAAAAAAATGTATATAAAATATAATATGAGAAAATTATTTGTTTTGTTTTCCACATGATCAGTGGTTCTCATGGTTAGATGTTAGAAAGTACAATTAAGATTAAGGGGTCGGGTCGTCCTGACCAAGAATACATTGGAGGGCAGTATACCTATCAAGTACAATATACAAGAATATTTTTGCAACATAATTTTCAATTGATTGCTTCCAGTATGTCAGTAATATCAGCAATTATGACATTGACATTTTCTTACTTTTATGAAAAAGTTACAATTTCAGGGGTAGGAAATGCATAGAGTATTTTGTTGAGTACAGCAGAAATACATTACCGAATAACTGACATCTAATTAAAAAGATTAGATATGTATAGTTTTATTTTGTCATCTGTGAACGCTTGTAAGTAACTTCACATCTGTAAATATCCTCATCGCGAAATCAAAATATTTCTTCAGTTAACCCCACATCCTTTAATTGAACAACTAGATTGATGGCTATCAATTTTTACCTGATGTACTGGGAACATGATGAGTGAATTTGCAGGTGAGAAACCTCCATAAAACGTTCACAGACTACAAAAGAAACTACACATACCTGCATGTTTAACAAAAACACAGTCCATGTGTTTTCACCCACTTCAGTACAATCAAAAACCAGTGTATTTATACATTCGTCTTAGACAATTATTTAACTGGAACTCTGGCCCTTTATCTCAGTAAATCATAAACTGAGATCCTAGCTATTTATCTCATCTCAGCACAATTATAAACAAGAGATCACCATTTATCACAACATAATGAAAAGCCAGGGACACAAACTGTTTATTGCAGCACAATGATAAACCAGGGAAACCAGCTATTATTCACAGCAACATCTTTAACACCAACTACTTATCTCAGCACAATTATACAAGAGACCACAGTCATTTATTGCAACCTAATCATAAAACAACCATTTCTCAAAACACAACCAGAATTTGATAAACCAGGTACAATCATAGCCATTTATAACATAAACTATGGACACTAAGTCACTAACCATTTATAGCAGCACAATCATAAACCTGGGACACTAACCATTTCTCAAAACACAACCATAATTTTATAAACCAGGTACAAAAGCCATTTATCGCAACACCATCATTAAATATGGACACTAGCCATGTATAACATCAGTGTAATCATACACTAGGGATAACAGCAACTTATCTCAGTGCAACTTTTATCCAAGAACACCAGACATAGCACAATATAAACCCCAACCATTCCTCACATCACAATTAGAAAAAAACCGCAGCCATTTGTCACAGTCACAATCATAAACTAAGGACACCACCACTCATGTTTTACAGTACAATCATAAACTGGGGACATCAGCCATTTATCTGAACACAATAAAAAGCATCCACCACAACATAATCATTAACCAAGGACCCTAGTTGTTCTTACAGCACAATCATTAATCAAGGAATAATTTAAACTAAGACTCTTGATCAGATTTCAATAGATCTGAAATTCATCAGATGGTTGACCAGGCCCCGACGATGCTACAGGTATTTCTAATATCAACATTCCTACTTCCTAGCCACATACAGTACTGGGAGGTTGGCCACCCGGGGCTGGACCATAACGGTAAAACATTTTCGGAACTTTGATCATTTTTATTCAGGGGCGTGGTCCTGTCAATCATGGGGTGTGCTCGCGTCGAAGTGTAGTGAATACGTCACCACCTCCTTAACCCTCCTACTTATATTACTACGCCATGCATAGTAATTGTGTTGCAAATTCATCTAATACGGATAATGTTATTGTTTTTTTAATGCAAAATATATAACTGTAGTACAATATACGTATTTAAATTGACTAAAAGTATGACAATTGATCATATTTGAAAACGTCTTCAGGATTATATTACGACGCGGCTTCGCATTTATGCATGATATATGTAAATCGTGCAAGTACTTTGCAGCTGCCCACTTTTGTTACGGCCATTAAAATTGTATTGATATCTTGGTGATCTCTGGCTAAAATACACCACAAAATGCCTGGATCGGGTGGCAAAACATTGAAGAAAGAGTACCTTGATCCGTCGACTACTTCACAGGTAAGATTTTAGCTGGATAAAAGGCATTTTCTATCGTAAAACACTTGCTTTTTTGTTGACCTATTTTTAATTTCTAACCCCGCCTTTCCAGGATTCTCAGCCATCCCCTCTGGCCCTCCTCGCAGCAACCTGTAGCAAAATTGGCGACCCTCAACGCGATAAAACAGCCGCAGCTCAACCACAGCAGCAGATACGTTATGTTCAACAACATCAATATGTCCAGACGTCCACAGGAGAGTTCCAGCTGCAACAGCAAATGGTCCCAGTTGCCCAAGTTTCAGAGCCTACAAAGAATCAATCTCAAGCTGCCCAACCGTGTGCCCAACAAATTCCTCAATCTGCTCAAATTATACAATCCTCCCAGTTGGTGAATCCATTTAATTTCCTTCCTCAACAAGCAGTCCAAACTGTGAAACTTGACAATGGCATTGAGGCGATCGTAATCCCACAAACTCCGACACCAATGATGACACCTACAACTCCCCAAGTTCTGACATCCCCTAGTCAGCAACCAATGGGAGCTCAAGCACAGCTTGTTCAAACGCCTCAAGGATTGGTAATTGCTCCTTCAGCTCAGATTGGACAAGCAGGACAGATCATACAGAATGTACCGAATGTGCAAGGAATACAAATGATGGGGGTACAACAAGGACTCCAGGGGAATATGATAGCACTGGCTCAGAACCCACAAAACTTTATGCAAACATTACAGATGATGCCTCAACAAGTCCAGCAGATGGTTTCAATACAGATCCCAGTCTCTACTGCAAATGGACAAACAATTTTGCAGAGTGCGCAGATTCCTCTCTCGGCATTACAGCCACAAACCCCAATGACTCCAATGCAAGGGGGCTTTCAAGGTCTTATTCCTCAAGTTGCGCAACAGGTTGTGCAATTAACTCCACAACCTCAGCAGGTTGTGCAAGCCTCTACTGAGATCACACAACCAAGCACAACCCAAAGTTGCACAACCCAAAGCAGCCCACCAAATGAAAGCACAACCACTGGTTCAACCACACCACCATTACAAACTATCCAACAGCAGCCTTATCCCTTGCAACTTTTTGCATCACCAACTGGAGCAAAACCTGGACAGTTGGTCATATCCAGCCTTGCTACACAGCTGGCACAGCTACCAGGTACCCCTATCAACATACAGGGATCCCAGTTGGGTTCACAAGGGTTTACAAACATCAACCAGGTTCAAACTCCAGGAAAGCCAAGCACAGCTGTTACACAGTCAGCTACATCAGTTGTTGGAACCCTTCCTCAGAGTATTGTTAGTTCATCAGTAAACAGTTCTGTGAGTCAGCAGCTCACACAACAGTCTTCACAAGTAGCACCCCAGGTGACCCAAACAGCCAAATCCAAAGGGAATCTTGGGCAACTTCAAACCCGGCAACAAACAAGTGTGACACAGGGGCAAAAAACAAATGTAGTTCAGGAGCAACAAGAGAATGTAGGCCAGGGGCAACAAGCAAATGTAGGCCAGGGGCAACAAGTGAATGTAGGCCAGGGGCAACATGTCAATGTAAGCCAAGGACATCAAGCAAATGTAGTCCAGGGGCAGCAATCAAATATAATTCAGGGACAACAAGCAAATGTAGGCCAGGGGCAACAAGTGAATGTAGTTCAGGGGCAGCAAGGAAATGTAGTCCAGGGGCAGCAAGGAAATGCAGTCCAGGGGCAGCAAGGAAATGTAGTTCAGGGGCAGCAAGTGAGTACAGTCCAGGGGCAGCAACCAGGTATAGTCCAGGGGCAGCAACAAGTAACTATAGTCCAAGGCCCACAGGGTCAACAAATAATCCAACAAGCAGTTACCCCTGCCCAAATCCAGCCTGGAACTCCTAACCAGTTTAACTTCAATCATAATATGCTGGCTCAGAATCCCCTAATGCAGGCCATAGGGGGGCAGAGCTTTGCCCAGTTTCAACCAATGAGCCCCTTTATTCAACCAATCAATATATCACAAAATGGTAAAATTCAGACTGTGCAGCAGATATCTTACCCTAACATACAAAATCAGGTGTCAGGCCTACAAGGGATCCAGTCCATACCTGGCACTCCCCAGCCAACACATTTCATCAACACAAATGGACAGATTGTGAGTTTACCTGTCGCTGCAACTCCAGGGACACCAGCCACTGCAGCAGTTCCACAATGGAGTCCTGGATCTCAAGGGAATGTTAAAAGTACAGTTGTGACTACACCCCAGACTCCCCAGTCTGCAGCCTGGCCCTCATCAACTCAGCAAGTGTCTATGCAGTATGGTAAGGATGTCATTTTTCATAAGCATCAAATTAAACCTTCTGTTACACAATACTGATATTGTAAAATGTCACATGATCATGCATATATTTTTTATAGGATTCTGTAGGATCAAAGGTATTGGCTTTTCATGTAAGGCCCTTAGTCATATTTGCTTATATAATGTAGTACAACATTTCCTTTGCTTGTTCTAATGGTATTACATTCTGTTGTAGGGCAGCAAGAGATTCAACTACAACAACTTCAACAAGATCCTAATGATCCCACTAAATGGACAATTGTTACAAATCCTAAATCTCCTGATGATACCGCAGATCAGAGTGAACCTCCCGAGACACCATCCCAAGTGATAAGTGCTGATATCACACCAGGCCGACGTCTGCGACGTGTAGCTTGTACTTGTCCCAACTGTAGAGATCCAGATGGAAATTATATGTAAGTGCTGAAAAACATACTGTATTGACACAGCATGTCTTTGGTGTGCTGATTATTGAATCCACTTCATTTCAAATCTGAAAAATGTCCCAAGTGATATATATTCTAAGCTGATTGCATTGTTCTCTCAAGTTACCATCTCTTTCTGTCTATGCCGGCAGAAGTCCTCGATTCAGTTTTTATTTTTAAAGATGTCGTCCTGAAATGTTTTCAACTGAACATGTGTATGTAGTCTTCTCTGGTTATGTGCACCATGGTTTGGAAACTATCATGCCAATAGCTTGGGACTGGGACAAGTTATTTTTAGTCTTGTTTAGGGGTAGGGCAGATTGCAACAACAAGGGCATCCCGCTAAAGTAGGCGGGTCACCCAAGGGCAACCTGTACCCCTGAGAAATTCCTCTCAGAACTTTGCTGAGGAGCCAAGCATTACCAAGGCTCGTTATTTTCCTTACTCATTAGTTTAAGGCATGAAAGTCTTCAAAGTGATCTTTATTCATATTGTTTTTAGATGATAACAATAAATGGTGTTTCTCATTTGAATTGTTATTGCCTTTTCTAGCTTGAAATACCCAATGACCATTTTATTGAGTATTTTTACTTGTTGCCAGCATTGTATATTTTTTGTTGGAAATTGTGCTTGGCTTTATTTCATTGTTTATTGTCTGGCATCTCAGGCATTCTGATAGTATTGATTTAGAATTTACTGGATATGTGCCATAATTTGGAGATAGAGTATATTGAATTTTTAACACTGCCCAATTTTTAATGATTACTAATTAGGAATGATTAGTTAGTTCTTTGTAATTAATTTTTTGAATTGTTATGGCTAGCTGTGTTTTATACAAAGACTGGGGTGGGGGGGGGGCAGTGATAGGGTTGTGCTGAAACATAATACACACACCCTTTTGTTCATCCTTTGTTTGCATCTACCGGAACTACTTTCTATGCTAAAACGGCTGCATAGTAAGTAGTGACATCTTTACATACTTATTCAATGTAAATTATTTTTTTGTCTTATGTGATTTCAGAAATAAAGAAAACAAGAAAAAGCAACATATTTGCCACATTCAAGGATGTAATAAGTTGTATGGGAAAACGTCACATCTACGAGCCCATCTTAGGTATGTAACACCCAGGTCAAATCCAGAGTTACAGAGGCGTTCATTCATTGTTTGGTATAATATAAAAGTATAAATATAATATAAAAGTATAAATAATATACAAAGTGCACACTAATCTGTTCTGTACAATATGAATCTATATAGGGTGCTTATCTTCCAACTTATTCAAAATAGCAGCTCCTTAAATAAGCTTATCTTCCTCTGTTTGAAATCTGACAATAATGCAATGGTCTACTGGAAAGGCTTGTTTAAATTAAATGTGAAGAGACAGGTGACTTCAGTGCAGCACAACCTTCATGTTTATCAATTCTTTTACAGTTTGGCATGCTTTTTAGCTCATTAAAAATGCTTCCAATATTTCTATTTTCTTTGCTATTAATTTCATGAGCTTCGGCTTTAGTCACCATCTTGCTATACAGGTTAGGAGAAAACTGTTGCAAAACACTCATATCATGAAAATACTGTTGTTGATGTTTCAGATGGCATAGTGGTGAGAGGCCATTTGTGTGTAGCTGGTTGTTTTGTGCTAAAAGATTCACTAGGTCTGATGAGTTGCAGAGACATAGACGAACACACACAGGTATGTTTTATTCATTTATGAATTAATTTGTGGCCAAGATAGACAATGGGATGTATAAATGGCCATTAAACACTGTACTTGTATGTTTTATCCCACCCTCTTTTCATTACACATTCTTCTTATCTGCTGAAAACAGCAAGTTGGAATCACACATCACACTAGAGTGAATGTACATTGTACTCAGGTTAGGCATTAATGTGATGCCTTTTGGTAACATTTTGGTATACGTGAGTGTTTTGGCAAGAATGCTAATACCGGTATGTGATTTATATGTATTTTACAGGTGAGAAGAGGTTTGAATGTCCCCAGTGCAATAAGAAGTTTATGAGGAGTGATCACTTGTCAAAACATGTCAAGACACATCGCAGCACATCAGGTAACCTAGTCAGATATTAACATTTGTTCAATTTTAGACCATTTGAAATTGTGTGACTTTAAAAGTGCTTTATTATGTCACCACAAGTGGTAACATATTGTTATTTTTTTATGGGCGGTGTTCTGTGGTTGGCCTCTGTAACAAAAGGGAAGGTGGTGGCATTTTGTATATTAATGCCTTGTTGATATTTTACTCACATCAAAGGTATTTAAGAATCAAAATAAAATGTTGTATTTTTGTTTGTGCTTCAAAATTAGAAATAAACTACATGAAGCTGCCATTCTATAGTTGATAATCTTGTTTGTTTTCAGAAGGAGCATATGATACGAGTGTGGCGCTTAAAGAAGAGGCAATGACTCTTGGTCTTGTTGCTGATGTACCCTCCACTTCGAGTAAGTACTTGTTTGTATGCCCTTGTGAATTAAGGTGGGCCTGTTTGAGTGACTTTATTGAGATAACGAAAGTGAAAGCATGTCATATTTTGAATTAAGGCGACTTGGTGGAATGAGTATATTGAGACAACATAAGTGAAAGCATGTAATAGGCTGAAATAAGATTGGCCAATAGTATACTAGTGCCTGTTGGATAACCTAAATAGCTTAAATGTTTGTTTTTTGTTTTACCTAAGATGAAAATGGTCTAACCCATATCTTAAATTGTTTATCCATAAAGTCTACTGACTTGATATTTAGTAATAAGAAAAAATTGTTTTCAAAGCAAAAACTAATTGGAATTTATTTTATTTTTGATGTTTTCAGATGATGAGACTTCAGATGGAACAACCAATCAGAAAACAGAGGAAATTCAATCTATGACATATTAGCAGCCAGTGGTGATCCATTCAAATGTCGCCTGATATGTGACTGTAAGTGTCGCAAATAAGGATGTACACATATTTGTCATACACTAAAATGACAGATAATTTTCACTTGATCTGAAGATTATCCCAGGACAAGAAAACCATGGCCCTTGTAGGTCTTCACCAATGTTAGCCATCTTCAAATCATTCTGTTACTGATTTTATGCATATCGCACTTATTAGGAAATTAATAACATATTACATATTTGAAATATTGGATTAAATCCTATAGTATTGTAGTATTTATTATTATTAAGGCATCATTGACTTTTATTATGCAACATCCTTCACTTGGGAAGATGAATGTTTTTCTCTGCGCTTAAGTAGCCTAAAGCATTTCATTTGTACTGTACAATGTGCAATTTTGCATTTGGATTAAACAAGTTAATGTACAGTCCTCAAATACATTATCGATTTGAACATTGCCCCATGTAAGCGAATAGAGGCATGTTCTTGAGGTTGTGTATTGGAGTAATATATTGGAATTTTTATTCCTGGATTTTGGGATGAAAAATAGAATCACATGAAATGTGATATTCTGTCAATCAACATTTATTCATATTATTTATATTTGTTGAACTATTGATTAAAATGTTCATGATCTATTAATGTATTATCTCTTGAGCAGTCTTCTATTGACTATACTTACAAAATTGGCTGTTACCTGGTGTATATTGACTGGTTACCCATCCAAAACACATGTTATATTGTAATGGTAGACCATATGATCAAATCCAGTTGAATGATTCAGACTGGTAAGGTTACATTTGTAATAATACATTTTAGTATGCTTAATCTTACTCCATTTCTTCATTTTAATAGAGATGAAATAAATCAAATAACTTAAAGACTATAAAAATTAGTTTGTTAAAGTATTCAAAGCTTAAGGAGTGATTTACAGTGCTTATTGCACATCTCCAAGGAATCCTAGTATAGATCGGGCTTTAAATCTGAACCAGATAATATAATGGCTGAGAATCATTAATTGTTCAAAGAGAAAGGATTTCTTGGAAGGATCGAAAGAAATGTTTTTTTTATGAAATTAATTTGATGCTGTCCCCAGCTCCGATTTCGGTGATCGGCTAGTAAAAAAGGTTTGAGGGTATCATTTTGTTCCAGACACTCTCTAAAGTAAATTATCCTAACTTGAGTAAAAATGTGTGGTAAGTAAATTCGCTATGGGCAGTTAAAGAGGCGCCATCTATTCATTTTCAAACAGGGGGTAGGGGTATAAAATAATTTTTAACACATTTTAATAGTAAAATGACATTGAAATACTAATAAAATCTTATCAAAAACATTATTTACAATCAGTATGAATTTTCTTGTGTGAATTAGGGTGAAAATAAGGGCATATTTTGAAATTCACTACAGGGGCGCCACCTATTTTCATACTTCTACCACGTGTAATAACTTATTTTAGATTCGTTAAGGTACGAAATGTACTGAAAAAATTCATTCTGAAGGACCTATATATGTTCATACCACATACTTAAAATTGGATCAATAGCTTTTGTACTGGCGGAGAAAAAAATTATTGAAATTTAAAATTGTGGCATCATGCAGGATAGGGGTGACTTTATCTCACATGATTAACTTCCAAAATATGGAGCATATGTATCTCAAATGTACTCAAAATGGTGTATATACTCTTGCTTTGTCATAATATTACTAATAAGAAGTAGAAAAATGATTGTACATTTTAAAAAATATTAATTCTCATTTTGGCTTCTGACGTTCCAGGGGTGACCATATCTCACCTTAATAACTTCCAAAATATGGAGCATATGTATCTCAAATGTCCTCAAAATGGTGTATGTACTCTTGATTTGTCATAATATTACTAATAGGTAGTAGAAAAATGATTGTACATTTTAAAAAATATTGATTCTCATTTTGGCTTCTGACGTCCCAGGGGTGACCATATCTCACCTTAATAACTTCCAAAATATGGAGCATATGTATCTCAAATGTACTCAAAATGGTGAATGTACTCTTGCTTTGTCATAATATTACTAATAAGAAGTAAAAAAAAGTTGTACATTTAAAATAATATTGATTCTCATTTTGGCTTCTGACGTCCCAGGGGTGACCATATCTCACCTTAATAACTTCCAAAATATGGAGCATATGTATCTCAAATGTCCTCAAAATGGTGTATGTACTCTTGATTTGTCATAATATTACTAATAAGAAGTAGAAAAATGATTGTACATTTTAAAAAATATTGATTCTCATTTTGGCTTCTGACGTCCCAGGGGTGACCATATCTCACCTTAATAACTTCCAAAATATGGAGCATATGTATCTCAAATGTACTCAAAATGGTGAATGTACTCTTGCTTTGTCATAATATTACTAATAAGAAGTAAAAAAAAGTTGTACATTTAAAATAATATTGATTCTCATTTTGGCTTCTGACGTCCCAGGGGTGACCATATCTCACCTTAATAACTTCCAAAATATGGAGCATATGTATCTCAAATGTACTCAAAAAGGTGAATGTACTCTTGCTTTTTCATAATATTACTAATAAGAAGTAGAAAAATGATTATACATTTCAAAAATTTTAATTTTAGCTTCTTACGTTCCTGGGTAATCATATCACACCATATAATAATAATAACTTCTAAGATATGTAACACCTCAAATATTCTCAGAAAAGTCCTGTCTTTTTCATATTACTAATGAAATGTAGAAAAATGATTGCATTTTTTATAAATTTTAATTTTAGCCCCTGGGACACTCACCTTGATAACTCTTACGATATGCAACATATGGATCTCAAATGTGTGCTCAAAATGGTATAAATATAGTCTTGTTTTGTCATATTTATTGAGAATAATAAAATCAACAGTTCAGAATCAATGGATTTTGACTGTCTCCTCTACAGCCACATATAATTCAGGGCAAATAATATCTGCTTTCAAATATTTGCATCTGCTCCCCAAACACCCTTTACAAGTACAATGGATGAGATTATTCCCTTGCATACCTTGGACCCAACATCTTTTGTAATCCATACAGGAATCCCTTTAGCCTGTCAATAGTGGGAGTACTTTACTCCATTCATGAAGTAATGGCAACTGCTAATGTAAGGTGTTAATATGTTATCCTGTGGCCTGCAATATATGCACCTTGGATTATACACTGAATTAAGGGATTTTGAGTATGTAAAATACAGGAAAAGGAGCTCTTTGTAATGATAAATCTTTCTAGCCACATTAACATTCTCTAGTTTGCATGTTTGTCATACAACATACATTGATTGTAATGAAATATTAATCTATGATTGTGATGTCCCACACTTCTAGGGTCCCAAAGAAGAGCTTAGCTTTTGGAACAATTGCATTATTCTTGGCACGGTAGGCCATACAGTGAATACATTTGTTGAGATTGGGCAATAACAATATAGCACAACATGACAAACCATGCAAACTAGAGAATGTCAATCAGGATTAGAAGCGACTTATCGCCCTTGTAATTTAGCAGTGGGACAGTTTGGTGTATGTTTGGGCATAAATGCGCCTTTTAGGCCTAATTTTTCAGGATATTTTCAAAATTTCGGGTCAGATTTGGGGTTAAGGGGCCAATTTTGGTAAATGAGGCTAGGCTACTCACACTACTGATAGGCTACCAGTATACAAAAGATGTTGCATCCAAAAGACTTATCGTCCATTGTTCCTGTAATATAAGGAGTGTTTGGGGAGAAGATGCAAATATCTTAATGTCTCTGGACTATATGTAGCTGAAGCCTGCAGGGGAGACAGTCCAATCCATAAATTCTGAACTTCTGTTTTCATGAATCTCAATAAATATGACAAAACAAGACTATATTTATACCATTTTGGGCACGCATTTGAGATGCATATGTTGCATATCGTGAGAGTTATATCAAGGTGAGATATAGTTGCCCCTGGGATGTCAGATTCGGAAGCTAAAATGAAAATTTCAATTCAAAAAAGGTGTAATAATTTTTTCTACATCTCATGAATAATATTATGACAAAGCAAGACCATATGCCCCATTTTTGCTATATTTGAGTTGTATATGTTACATAATTTTAGAAGTTATTGAGGGACGTCAGAAGCTAAAATTAAATTTTTTTAAATGTATAATCTTCTTATTAGTATAATATTATGACAAAGCAAGAGTACATACACCATTTTGAGTACATTTGAGATACATATGCTCCATATTTTGGAAGTTATTAAGGTGAGATATGGTCACCCCTGGGACAGAAGCCAAAATGAGAATTAATATTTTTAAAAATGTGCAATCATTTTCCTACATCTTATTAGTAATATTATGACAAGAAAAAGACTATGTACACCATTTTGAGTACATTTGAGATACATATGTTACATATTTTGGAAGTTATTAAGGTGAGATATGGTCAGTGGTCATCCCTGGAACATCGGAAGCTAAAATGAAAATTAATATTTTTAAAATGTACAATCATTTCTCTACATCTTATTAGTAATATTATGACAAGACAAGACTATATACACCATTTTGAGCATATTTGAGATACAAATGCTCCATATTTTGGAAGTTATTAAGGTGAGATATGGTCACCCCTGGAACGTCAGAAGCCAAAATGAGAATTAATATTTTTTAAATTGTACAATAATTTTTCTACTTCTTATTAGTAATATTATGACAAAGCAAAAGTACATACACCATTTTGAGCACATTTGAGATGCAAATGCTCCATATTTTGGAAGTTATTAAGGTGAGATATGGTCACCTGGAACGTCAGAAGCCAAAATGAGAATTTAATATTTTTTAAAATGTATAATCATTTTTCTACTTCTTATTAGTAATATTATGACAAAGCAAGAGTACATACACCATTTTGAGTACATTTGAGATACATATGCTCCATATTTTGGAAGTTATTAAGGTGAGATATGGTCACCCCTGGGACGTCAGAAGCCAAAATGAGAATTAATATTTTTTTAAATTGTACAATCATTTTTCTACTTCTTATTAGTAATATTATGACAAAGCAAGAGTACATACACCATTTTGAGTACATTTGAGATACATATGCTCCATATTTTGGAAGTTATTAAGGTGAGATATGGTCACCCCTGGGACGTCAGAAGCCAAAATGAGAATTAATATTTTTTTAAAGTGTACAATCATTTTTCTACTTCTTATTAGTAATATTATGACAAAGCAAGAGTACATACACCATTTTGAGTACATTTGAGATACATATGCTCCATATTTTGGAAGTTAATCATGTGAGTTATGGTCACCCCTATCCTGCATGATGCCACAATTTTAAATTTCAAGAATTTTTTTCTCCCCAGGTACAAAAGCTATTGATCCAATTTTAAGTATGTGGTATGAACATATATAGGTCCTTTAGAATGAATTTTTTCAGTACATTTCGTACCTTAACGAATCTAAAATAACTTATTACATGTGGTAGAAGTATGAAAATAGGTGGTGCCCCTGTAGTGAATTTCAAAATATGCCCTTATTTTCACCCTAATCCACACAAGAAAATTCATACTGATTGTAAATAATTTTTTTGATAAGATTTTATTAGTATTTCAATGTCATTTTACTATTAAAATGTGATAAACAATTATTTTATACCCCTACCCCCTGTTTGAAAATGAATAGATGGCGCCTCTCTAACTGCCCATAGCGAATTCACTTACCACACATTTTTACTCAAGTTAGGATAATTTACTCTAGCGAGTGTCTAGAACAAAATGATACCCTCAAACCTTTTTTACTAGCCGATCACCGAAATCGGAGCTGGGGACAGCACTAATTACAAAGGTTTAGATTCCTTCATCCCCTCTTATCAAACATTGAAATTGCAATGACATAAGTGCTGAAGTCACCTGTTTATTAAATTATATGTTTGCCTTTACTCCCACACACACAATTACTTTTATATAGCATATAATGACAAAAAAAAACATTTTAAATTATATTTTACAAAGCTTTATTGTTCACAATAGTCTATCTGCTATGTTGTAACACAGTCTACATTACACATCAAATGAGGTGTTCCTTTCTTCAAATACACCTATCTAAAATATGTTTTTATGTCTACATAAACTCGTATATTTTGCTAATTATGAGACACAAAAAAAACAGAAATAAAGAATTACAAAAATCAAATTAAGATCCACTAGTGTTTAGAAAATTAAGTGGTACTCACTTTATGTTTCTATATATGAATGGTAAGGCAAAAATTCCCACATAAGTGATGGTGTCCAATTGTTAACTATGTGGAAAACCAGTTAATTTCAAGAGTGAAAGGCAAACCAATATTTTTTGTTATATATTTATAACAAAATTAACCTTTTTTTCCACAATTGTCAACATTTGGACACTACCCACAACACAAATATCTGCCCGGCTCATATCATATCAGCAATCTTGATATTTTGGTGAATCAAATAATAAGCATTTGCAGAGTGAAAATACTCTCCACATTGTACAAATAATACAACTGGTAAATATGAACTAAAATTTGAAAAAAACAAATCTATTGTTATAATAGGCTTTGTTCATACTGCAAGTTTAATGACTTGAGTTTATTTTTTCTATATGTAATAATATGGTAATAAGTTGGTCTTGCCAAGTCATTCAATAACAGTTGAATTACTAAGAAGTTAAGTTATGACCAGACTAAGTACTATTTTAGCCTCTAAATTACTTGTATGGGAATGGTATCTCCAAATGTCCAAAATCTGGGAAGAACAAATTTAATCTCTTTGGGATTAGTGAATATATGACAATTTTGTGAATTAAATGTAAGTAAATCAACAACAATTTTGTCAAACAGGAAAGGGGGGGGGGGTTAGACCATAATAACATTAGCTTTTGACATTTGGAAACCATTCCAAACAAGTGCATTTTATCAAGTCAATCATCTTCTTCCCATTTTATCTGATATTAAAAGTAACATAAACATACAGACAAAATATTCAACAAAAATGAGAGCTCACACGTTTAACATCTTTATGGCACTTCATACCTTCCTTGATATTCTGAGCTATAACCATTTCTAAAAAATGGCGTGAATTACAAATGCAATTATCTTCTGAGGAATCACTCAAGAAATGCTATAAATTTGCAACATTTCTGAGAAACAACCCTCTGAGGAATGATCAGCTATAAATATCTACACTCCCCTTCATATGTTTAGATAATCAGTCCCTTCCGAGTTAAAGCATGTATGCTCCCCTCTAGGGTTCTATTTCCCCTTTTGTGAAGTTCAATGCAAAAATTCCATGATCCAAACTGCTTATATCCTGGCTACTATATTTCACAAACACAGCAGAGATTACACTTTTAAATTGGAATAAAACATAACATAATGCCTGTCTTGGATCTATTTCTTCATATATAAAACACAAACCCTTGTCTCATCTCAACACAGACTATTGCACATCATCTCTTATAATGTCTTTACTAGTACTTTGTAATACCAATTATCCAAATGAAAAGCTTGATCATTTCATTTTTGTACAATTTCTATATTTTCCTAGCATTAATCTCTCTCATTCACATACATGTATGTCTTACACTCATCATCATTTAATACTGAATATCAATAAAAGATGCATCCAAAGATATTGTTTTTTAAATGTGAAATACGAATGAATGGGATAAAGTTGGATTTATTTCAACTAAAATATGAATCAAATTTCAACATGATATCAATGGAATTGATTGAGTAAAATTATTTTAAATATGTTACACATATTAATTTGGTAATGTTGAACTGTTCTGTAAGTAAAGTATGATCTAATTTATATTTTAAATCACACATTATGTCAACATACATGGACACTCCCCCCAAAAAGTTTGGCAAACCTGACACTCTTCTTGAACTATTAAAGCCAGTTTATGTTTAGTGATTGTAAAATTCTGCAAATTTGTCAAATTTCTGACCTTTTTATTTGAAGAGGCTAAACATGATTACCAATATTGAGTTGGTGTTGCCAAATTTTTGTAAGGGGTGTATGTCAACTGTTGGTCCACCTCAGATTAAGCATTAGATCACAATCACTGTAATTACACCACATATATTAACTCCAATGACACACATTATAAATTTTATAACCATTATTGCAATTGTGATTAATGTGATCCAGATCAGACATTACTGTTTTGATTTTACGCTCTGTTTTAGTTATAACAATAAACTTACAGATGTTTGGAACAAAGTATTCACTGAAATACTGAACAAGACATTAACATGACAAAATGTTACCACCTGGAAAAAAATGTAACAAATGTTACAGATGATGATCACAAAAAAATGGTGGTTATAACACTATGTTGACAAAGAAACAATGCTTTAATTCTTATTCTAATGGTGTATCCTTAATAAAGTATTTACCTCGATGATTCATTTTAGCTTTCCTAACAATTCAAGTCTACAATCTAGACATTGAGAACAACAACACAAATACATTTCACAATATTACAAAACTCTATATACCTAATAATATTCAATTAGCAGTTTACATGAGATAATTTTGGTGTTTTTTATTTGATCAATGTGATCAAATATTTCAAACAAAAATATTACGCCTTCGTGATCTTTAATCGCTTTTATTTCAAGTTGGAGATTCTTCTTTTATTTATCATTATTTTGGTTATAGAATTGAAGCACTGGCCATTTGTGTAGCCTTGATTACAATAATGTATAAGTTATTAACTTAAACAAGACTAAAACAACATAAATATGTTTCATAATTCTTATGCTTGAAACTATCATATGAGACATAAGCAGTAAACTAAATCTTATTTTTACTCCTCAAGTAAACGTACTATCTTGTTAAACAAGATCATGCACACATCTCCATATCAATAAATAAGCCCAACGACTTCTTCAATCTTAATAAGTCAAAAATATGAAAATATATTCATAACACTAGCATTTATACAAACACTGCATCTCCCTTACTAGTACTGTTACCAGAGCTATTATTACTTTGCTCTTGGCCATGTTCATTGGACTCTGATGACCATGACCTTGTATCTCCGGTGACCTCTGACCCAGAACTAGTCATATGAGCTAACTCAACAGTGTCTGGTTGGCTACTAGACTGACTAGAACTTGTATCCCTCACTCTGCTCTGTGTATAGTTGAGCTCATTACTGAGAGTTGTTAAATTATGCAAAGCTGTGTCTAATGTGTCATCCACACGTTGCTGTTGAGTCTGCTGGGCCTGTTGGTTCACTTGTTCTGTTGTCTGCTTTATCCAGACATCTATAGGAGCTGCAGGCCCTAACCCTGTATGATCAGGCCCCAAAGCTGTATTATCATGCCTTAAGGGGTCAGACTGACACCTGGCTGTAGCATCTGACTGTAAGCTTGATCTGCCACTCCTACTGGAACCTTGTAGAGAGCTGAATGAACCAGTTCTACCCGTCTCTCTTTTTGAGGATTTAGAAACTGTGCTATCCAATGAGAAGGATGAGCCCAGTTCAGATGGAGATCTAGAAACTGTATCTAGCACTGACACACTGTTGGGACATTTCATTACAATTGAACTGAACTGTGGATTGATGCTGGGTTCCTCGCGAGAGCGACCTCGTCGTGGATTGCCTACAGAGGGCAGTCCAAGGTCATTCTCATGTGCGTTTGAAGCGTTGGAACTGTCCAACAAACGAGGCTCAAATATGCCATCCTCTTTTTTGTTGTTATACAAAAAATATTTTTGTTCAAAGTTTTTTGTTTTATCTGTGTCTTTTACAAAAATATTACTGACATTGATATCCTTAATCAAACCAAAAGGGCTTGAATTAACACTATTCAATGTATGTTCTATAGTTTTTGAGATATCTGCTTGAGGGAACAGGCAATCACCCTGATCTTCCGTAGTTTCATCGTCACTAAATCGCACTTTTGGACTGATCGGTGGTCGGGGCGCAGCACCCCCAGTTGCCCCTAGCAACTCAAATTCACTCCCCATGGTCCCGCTGCGAGACCTCGATCCAACAGATGTGCTCCGTACCCTTGAATCACCATGAGAACTAGCTTCATGAATGTCCTCTACACTTTTGTTTGGAACTTTTGCCACAACACTTGATATCATGGGAAGCTCCTCCCTTGAAGGGACCCGTCTCTGTCTTCCAGCAACAAGATCATCCTCCCCTGAATCTTGTAGAGACAGTCTGATAGCCATTGTCAGATCATTATCCTCCTCTGGAAACACATGTTAAATATTAAATCACAAATGTGTCAGGGGATGTAGATGGACTTGAGTATATCATAGTAAAACATTCTGTTTACAATATTGCAGTTGAAAAATTACATTCATTAAACACCAGGACACTCTAGATTTTAATCTTTTAATACCAATATATTCTTCATAGTTTTTGTTGTTGAAAAACCATGTAAATTCAATAGATGATAATGTAACTTCACTGTGCAATGAGATCGAATTAACAGGGACAGGGGGTCTAATGATTTGTGAAATTAGATTTAGGAAAAGGAAATGTTGATACTGTAACCCCTAAGCCTCTTTGGAACCAAATATTGATTTATCTTTCTCAAAGTACCTCTTGACATTTCCAAAGCTCTGTTGAACTCTCGATCAAAGTCTTCCAAATTTTCTAAAACTGCACGTTTAACTACACCTCCCTCATGTTTTGACTTCACCACATCGCTGATGTCAGGACTTGTGACATCATCCTTCTGAGAGGATGATGGGATATCTTGAGTTGACGAAACAGGACTGTTACCAGGAGGGGTGTCAGGCCTATAAGAAAGTAAGTATTACAAATGACAAGGGATAAAATATCATACACATCTTACATAAAGCTGCTATTGCCTATGCTGAAAAAGTGGGAAGACATATATTCCTGAATTTGATTTTAAGACAAGGCATAGCATGAACAACATCACACCACTTAGTAGGCACCAGTTATTGAGCGATGATGACAAGGGAAAAAGTATATCTAAAATGGATGCTAGACCTTTAACACAAGAAAACCTTGATGAATCTGAAAAGCGCAGAGACTAGGAATTGAAATCTCCAAATATATCACCTTCTTCCAGAAGCAGCTACTGTTTGGTCATCGCGTATGAACTGAAGGCGGGACATCTCCAGGGCACGCAGGAGGTCTATCTGGTAGTCTGTCACAAACTCTCTGGTTGGTTGAACCCCTCCCTCCTCTACAATAAAATTCTAGTTTTGTTTCACAGATTCTAATTTTGTTTCACTATACTATTTTATTATACCCTATTTTGCAAAACAAAAGGACTTATGTATGTTTGAAAAAGTGAATTTTGGAACTTACTTTTGAGCTCTTGTTTCTCAATCCTGTCCAGTCTCATACACCTGAGACTACAGTGGTCATGTAAGGTTCCAGTACGAGGGTTCTGTGCCTTCTGACGCATGCATCCCCCTCGTGCACATATACCTACAATACAGATTGAAGCATATACACTCTAGACATACCATATAGGGTCCCAGTCAAGGATCCTGTGCTCTCTGAACATGACCTATTCTTAGATAAAATAGATTACAAGTGCAAGGTGCATTCATTCATAAAGATTAATGCACCAATTCTTAAAACGATAGTCACTATACAATTTACCTGAATTGTTGTTAGTTGGGGGAGGGGGTGAACTGGAAAGGTTGCTGGTACTTGTTGCTATGGGGACAGGGGAGACTTCTGTGTCAGAATCATCACTCTCCTCCGGCCAATCAAGCAGGGCTGCAACATTAGTGTGGCGTCCTGTGGGGTCCTTAATCCAGGGATTGTGTGGATCTAGGTCTTTTAATGACTCTATTAGAGCCTTCTTCAAGTCATCCTACAAGAAGTAGTCATAGGTAGATATGAAAATCAACAAGGTACACAGTGAATAATTATGTTACTAAAAACTAAAGATTGGTCACCTGAAACTATACCAAGCATGCCCAAAATGTAATCAGTTCTATAAAGTTTTGAACCAAGAAACATCCGAGGAAATTTCAATACCTTTAAGGTATTTTTAAGAAACTGTCTCTAAAGCTTCCCCAATACTTACATCCAGATCAATGCTAAATCTTGTCTTCCTTTTCCTGTAGGGAGAATTATCTGCAGGTACGAGACCTTTAGCAATGGCTTGTACAAACTCATGACGCTTCCTCTGAACTGTGTGTGCAGTCTGAATTATTTTGGCACGTGGGGTACGTAGGTACGGACGGGCAATCATTTCTGACAGGGACTCTGTACATTCTTCAAGCTCAGTCTGAAAATATTTGCCTCATTTTACCTCGAGCTCAAGAGACTAGTAGCAATAAGTACAAAGTCGAACACCTTATGAGTCTAGAAGTGGAATACCTATGTTAAATGAAAGGTTTAACTGTACTGCACTCTGGATAGATAGACAAAAGATATATATGTTGATAAAGTCTTAATGATAAAAGGTAGCTGTCATGTTTTTCATAAAAGTTTCAATATAAAATCAATGGCAGCTTCTGATGGAAGAATAAAATTCTGTGATTTTTTAGATAGCTAGATTCTGATTGACCTAAGTACAATGTATAGCCATTTCACAAAACATGATAACCTTATACTGTATTTAGCAACATAAACAAATGTTTTCTTTCGAGTTATTTCACCTAAGAATTGTTGTTCCTTTGTTTGAGAATAAACTTGTTTGTTAATTTAGGTAAAATTCATTTTTAATATCAATTTGAATTCTGATCGAAAATCTCAGCAAGAGAGTGACAATTGATAGAGCAGACCCTTTACTTTGCCTTACTACATACCTGCATGAACTCAAAGATGGGCTTTTTATAACCTGTATCCTCCAAGAAGTAGCCATAAGCATAGGAGCATTTAAGTACACGCCTGGCCTTAAGTAATTGAACCACCCCCTCCTCTACAAACTTGGTCTCTATATTAGCTGTGTCTGAAATATATGTACAAGTTTACTGATATGATATCCGAAACAATACAGAAATGTTTAGCAATGCAGAAAAGCAATCATCACTATTGGATACATATTTAAACATAAATTGTATTAGCTATAGATGGAACATCTATTGCCTCATTCTAGTTCTTGCGTTTAATATACCAAGTGCTCCCTTTTCTTATATCCCATTTCTCAATTTTTCATAACTAGCTGTATAAAATATCAGTTTCACAATACAATCAACAAACAAATCAACACCATACAGATGAAATTAACCTGTAGAGGCCTTGTCTTACCTGGATCAGTGATGGCTTTGGCTAGAACCATCATCTTCTCCTTAGCTGTGGTGATCAAAGGTTCTTCTAACTGGAAGGGAGATCTTACAATTAGTGACATAGATTTTACAATTGGTGACATAGATTTTGCAATTAGTGACATAATAGTTAATATTAGCAAGTAGTAGTAGTATACACAAGTGCCAAAAGGAAAGGACCAAAAATTGTTACAGAACACAGCAAGAAAAATAAAACATCTAAGAGTACACTAGTCATAAGAAAAACAAACCGATCTGTCCAAAACTATAATCTAACGTAAAAGAAGCAATGTCTCCTATGCCATTCAAGTTCCATTATCACACTCCTGCACCATAACACCTAGAGCCATGTCATTCATACTGAAGTTAATTACAATACATGTTGAAGAATTTAAATTGATTACCAAAACTCATAACCTCAAAAGTTGAAAAATAAAGTAAATCATTCTTGGAGAACGAAGGGAGAGGGGGATGGTAGGGTCAGGAAAGCATATTATGAAGATAAAATTTGAGAAAATCTTCTTTATTCTGGCTGTGTGCTAGCCTGGTGTAAAAAAGGAAGATTTAGTAAAAAACTATCTTCAAACCAGTTTTGGGAGGAAAAGTAAATGATTCTAGTTCTGGATAATTGCATAACTTCAGTTAAGCATGTTATATACATGTGCATTTGGTGAACTAAGTGTATTCAGTGTTTTACAGTATGAAATTAATAAAAGCATATATATCACTGCTTGTGAAGCACTTACTTTATAACTGTTTTCATGATTCTTGAATCTTGTATAGTAGTGAACAAATCTGTTCATTTCCTGGGCCTTTTTGTTGTTCCTTTCAGCCTGGAAATAGTTAATCATATATTATAGTATAGCCTTATAGCAAAATATGATAATAATACAAGTCCATGACATGTATACGTAAGTGGCTTTATATAAAATGCATAAAAATTCACTTGGAAATAGTAAATGACTCAATACTATAAAATTGAATATACAAGAAATACTTAATATATATATATAACCAAAGATATACATCTTTTTGATTAATTCAATGTTGATCAGAGATTGATGACAAAAAAGCAATTCAAAGTGTGTAATAATATATCCTTTATTAGGGAGCTTATTCTGATGAAACCAGTGCATAGAATTTCATATGTTTCATATTAACCAAATAACACTTACATCACTTTTGAGATTTTCTGTATTTTCTTCCACCTTTTTCACAACTTCATATCTGTTACACCTGAAGTAGCCACCAGTGGCTGAACTGTGTTTTTTCCAGGGTTCGAGACATACCCAGCAAAAGTCACTTTTACACTGAAACACACCCAGAGTAAGATATTATTTATTTAATATCATAATCATGGTCCGAGTAGAAATGATAGCCAGACCCTTTTTAGTTTTTCTAATTATCTAAAAAACTTCCAAAATTTTTTAAAACTACATATTTTTTAATTTTCAAGTGAATACTTGAATATTTGGAATATCATTGAACTAACTTACTTTTGAACATTTCATGTGATTGCAGCCTTCATTCTTCTGTATTGGGGACTTGCACTGAGGACATGGTTTAGAGTTTGTCACTAACCAGAGACAATTTGCAGCTGATTCAGATGTATCCGCTGTTCCATCCACTGGAGGACACAAACATATCATTTAGATAAGTTTACCAATTTTAAAGCTCCTTTAAAGTGTGATGCCATGATGGATATACAGTAATCTCACTCTACCCAGCTGAAATATAATAGAGTAATTTGTTTTACTTACATTCTTCAGGCTTTATTTCTGAAATCTTAGTGAACCAATCCTTCCACGAGTCACAGTTCACTGGCTCATGGGCCTCTCCTAAACATTCCCTATAAACATTGTAAAATATTAATTAATTTTACAGATCATGTAGATTGAGAAGAAACAATAGAAAGAAGAAAGTATGAAAAATTATAAAAACGTATATAGATTTTTTCTTTTTTTTCCAATTATCACGAATTTGTACAGAGATATTCAAATCTTAATTTGGTAGTTGGTATTTTATTTCCTTAAATTATATTTTTTCACCAATTAAAAACGTACCAACAGAAGTAGTGGCCATTGCCACAATCCACTGCATGTGAGGTCTCTGTCAGATCCCTGGGCTTTGGGGTGGTAGGGGTACTTGCTTCCGCCTCAGGAAGCTTCACAGCCCGACCACACCCAGGATATGGACACCACTTAATATTGGGATTACTGTCGACAAATGCCTACAAATACAATAAATGCACATAATTGTTTTACAGATTATAACAAGACATAACCATCACAAATAATAAGTTTATCAATTTGTTACATATTCCAAAATCCAACACCAAAACTGGTCGCAAAACTAGTGGCTATAATAATTCTTGGTGATGTCATTTTAAAAGGATGCCTGAATGTGTTGTAGATACAAGTAACAAAGCAAAATATCAAATACAGATTAAGATAACAATTTCCAGAAAATGTTTTACAAATAAATGATGCAAATAAATAAAAATTAAAATAAAAAAATGTCTAGCAAATCCTCTTAGGAAATACATACATGTAGAATAAGATATTTTCCAATCCCTTGTCTTTATCCATTCTATACACGATATATTTGTACATGTACTCATATATCTAGGTTTGACAGTTGATATTTGAGAATATGTAGAATAATATAAATGAAGGACAGAGGCTACACCACAATTATACCACAAACATTCTAATCAATATGAAAACAGAAATACAAATGTCTTATTTTCATCTCCCTTGGGAGCTTCAAGGAACGGAAAATGTGGTAATACAGCAAAAAGACGCCATATGGCAATTTGTCACTAGATATTCAAAGAAGCTTACTTTTTTTATATTGCAACCAGACTCTAAAATATCAAGTTCAATTATGCCCATTCAGGTTTAGCGCAAAAGGCTGTTTATAGACAAAACCATTGGTATGCAAAACCATTGGCAATAAAAATAAAGATTTTCTTTTTTTCATTAATTGAGCCCATTAAAATTAATTTGAGTAAAAAGATGCAACTTGTGACCTTTTTGTGTTGGGGAAACTGCTCTTGAAAAATTTTATGAATAATAACGATTCTATTCTGATATTGCAATAGTATTACCACTTTGGCACTGACACAAAAGACTATTGTCTCTTTTGTATCTGACAAGACTATCTTATGACACTGATAATGTATAAAAGATAATAATATACAATTAGTTCAACGTTCAAGACTAACCTTTATATCAAATTGTAGATATCTACGTGCCATGTCTCTGGAAACTATTGTCTCTATTACCTCCACTGGAACTAGCTTATGACATTGGTAAGCGGGGCAGCCTATATTGTGCGTATCTCCTTCCTGGATCTTCCCTGTCAAATACCTATTCCAGCAACCTCGGCAGAAAGCATGATCACACTGCATCGGGACCAGCTCTTCTTCAGAGTGGCCAATTAAACCAGCACAAATATCACACTAAAATGTAATATTTCGAATACTATATACCTCTTGGCTTCAATGGTTTAAAGTAACTTTTTTAATTCGTCAAACAATGTGTTTTTAAGTTTTAAAAAGAAGATCTGCATATTATTTTAAGGTATTGTTTTTTTTCCTTTTAGTCATAATAAATCATGTTATAAGATAAGAAGTCTGATCTTCAAACATTTAATACAATAAAGCATATCTGTGGTCAATTCCCAGATTCTATTAAGGGACATAATATTATAGAACAACCTACAACTAGTATCTTACCACAGCATCAGCAGGAGCCGAAGCATAAGTAGGCGTGGTCAGATCATGATCGACAGACTGAGGAGGGCCTGCCATTGGACGGTCTTCAAATAGATTAGGGGGAGGAGTGACTCCACATTTCTCACAGCAGGCTATAGGATCCCCCATCCAGGCCTCCAGAAGCATCTCCCTGGACCACTCTGCAATATTTGGAATACATGTGTGTACCAAATGTTATATACAATACCATGTAAAGTTAATTCTAAATTCTACGTTTAGGGACTCCTATAATGCCACTGCTAAGTGTGTCCCTCATGTAATTTGCACTTACATGAATGAACGGCAATAGAAAAATATATGTACAATTTATTATAGACAATAAAATCCTGTCAAATAAAACACAATATTATGTTACTTTCAATCTTGTGGTTTCATGATTATTCAAACACAGTTCCCATGATATGAAAGATCAGGAGATATTCACAATCATGCACATAAAGCATTGAGAAACTCCCAAGAGGGTGACTATTGTTCGACTTTCACTACTCAGACATTCATATAGGCTTACCCTGGATATGATAAAATTAAATAAATATTTCATTCTATTTCAATGCTGCATTGTATTAATTATCACTTGGGATAGGTGCAAAGGCATTCTCTGCAATATAATGCATTCTTTATTATTATATAGATAATTTTTTTTCTTTTTTTTTAAATTTGGGTGGAAATCTAATTTTCAAGATTCTCCATTCAACTTCTTTCCATTGCTCTCCATCCACTCTGCAGATTGCAAATAGGAGCTGAGAAGCACTGATAAAGCTAGAGATACCAGAAAAATAGGCACCCCAATGGCTCAGACAATACGATTTGATGATTTTGAGTTCTTTACACCCAGTATTTAAAAACTAATCTTTGTTATATAAGCAAAGAGGAATTAAGTAAAATAAAACCATATTCAAAAATTCATGTCACTGACATGATGTCAAAAATACTCGCGTAACAAAAGACAGCAGAAAAAGGTCTGTAATATAAATCCTTTGAATTAGTCCCCTTTTACAAAAGTTGTTTCCTACCATGGTTCCTTAGCAAGGCCTCTGCAGTAAAAAGAGGTACACGTAACATGTCAGATGTCTCAACTAGCAGTTGGTCTTTGGCCTCTTGTAAGTCTTGAGCCCTCAGTCCACAGTAATCTTCCATTGTGTCAATTAATTGGTTCATATCATCCGTCTCTTCTTGCTGTTCATCTTCGCTCTCATTCTGTAACAAAATACAAAGATGTAGACATAATGTAGAACATTGTATATTAGGGATGAGACGAGTCAAAAAAATCCGATTCGAGTCGAATCTGATTCGAGTCAGAAAATGACGATTCGAGTTTCGAATCGGTTTCGAGTCGCGAAAGTGCGAACAACATCGCTTTTGACCGTTCATATTTTTAATGCGTCAATGGTGGAAAGCCGGAAATATAAACAAACACAATTCCTCGTAAGTTTATTCTGATTTTATTACATATATTCTTTCATTTATGTGTACATACAATATAATATTTTAATACAAGCATATCCAAGTCATTGAAACTTATATATTCAACGCAATATCGAGTAAAAACATGCATATTGACAGTATTTTTTGAATTTTTTTATTTTTTCGAATTTTTTTCTCAACTCGAAAATGATTCGATTCATCAACTTCGACTCGATTCGACTCGACTCGAAGCCCCAAACCCGCTAGTCCTCGACTCATCGGGTTGTCGTCTCACCCCTATTGTATATGAAGAAAATGGCATAACTGACAAAAACTGAGAAATGCCCTGGTTTCAAAACCTTTTTAGGGTCTGGTATTCAAGGGATTAAATGTGCTCACTGTGAACCTTTTTAAAATACTGATCATATAATGGAAAATGCATGTTAATTTGGGACATAGATTCAAAATGTGGGACATATTAGAGAACTCTATTGCCATTCTGAACCTTTTCTTTTAATTTTCTCATGCTTGATGACAAAGCTTAGAGGAATTGTCAAATAAAAGATCTAGATTTTTTCTGTATGTTACAGTTATTGGATATTAAGACCTTGTACTGTAAATAAGGGGCCGTGATATGTGATAAATACAGAGTGCAAGATTTCCCTAATCTCCTATAAAACAGTTTTTGTCTGCCCTATCTAATTTATCTGTCAATGGCATGAAAATTCTAATCAATCTTCGTAACACATAATAACAGTTAGAAATTCCTAACTAGAAAAATTAACTTCAATTTCTTTTGTTTATGGCCCTAATGTGACAGTCTATTAATACAACTTACCGAGAATACCATCTTAGATTCCAGATATAACGCAATGTTGCTGTGGTTATTTTTCTCTGCACAATCGCAAGGGGTCTGTTTCTGCTCATTCTCCGTAAATAAAGGGGCCCCTTGAGATACAAGCAACTGGAAATAAACCAATTAGATAATTAGTGGAGACAACTTGGAATAATTGTTTTCACCTTTTAGCAATGAGACTACAGACTGTCGAAGTGAATCATGAAATATATACAGTCAGTCTAGATGAGACGGCTCTATACAGCGTTCTCTAAGGGTTTTTTCTCAACTGGGTGACCATTTTTAGATCTCATTTTCAAGTGAGCAAATGTCCAAATATGATCCACATTTTTGCAATTTCCAAATTCTCTCTGGATACAAATAATTTTTAACAGGGTGCAAAATAGTTTCACAAATTCTACGGGGGTAATTTGATGCGAATTCACACCATCTATGAATCAGCACACCTAACGAGAGGAGGGTTCTATCGAGTCTCTGAGGCTACTTTAACCTGTAGCGAAAATAATAAGTTAACTCAAAGTACATGTAGTGTAAAGGATATAGAACCGCTATACTATATTCTCCAGTCCTCTTATTCTATAGATGGAATATTGAGTTCAAAAATGTAATGAAAAAGATAAATAAAGGTGATGACTTAAATCTGTTTTGGAACTATTAAAATCAATTAACTAATGATTACATTAAAGATTGAACACCTCCCTCCAAATAATTGAACATAGTACTTTATTGATTAGTAATAATTTTAAGTCATCTTTTAAAAATCAATATACAAATTGCAAGAGACTTTTACACCTCCGAAAACATAATTAATAATTACTTAGTTCACATTTGCTCATAATTTTATAACTTGTACATGATCTATGATGTTCTAACCTTAAAATGGAATGTACATACACATAAGATCAATATCCAACAGTTCTAGATCAAATAATGAAGAAATAAAGCTACAATTTTATTTGCTCCCCATAGCTAAGCCTTTTTATTGCATAGAAAACATTTAGTTTGGTTTATTTCAAAAACAACATTTCCTTCATCAATGTAGTAAGTGTAAGAAAAAGGGAAATTCATAAGCTGGGGCGTTATGACATACCAAGCAAAAGCAACAATTATCCTGAGTGAGCCTACAAACAGAGTAATTAGACAAGTCTACACGCAACATCACGGTTCCAATTGATCACATTCAAAAATCTATACTGGCTTCAAACAAAATTATAGATTTATCCCTGTCTGTCGACAACTTTCAAATAAAGTGCTTAGGGATGTTATTGCAAATCAACATTGATAGACTGTTAGAATTAGTTAAGAAATCTTTTTCAAAAATTGTGATTATTTTTGGCTCATACCATTCTTGCATATGTATACTTAAAATCCATGATATTACATCATTTTATCTATGTAAAAAACATATTTGTTGTTAATTTGCAAACATCAATTATAATACCCCTCCCCCCATACAATATAAGGCTTTAAAATCTAATGAGAACATTTCAAGAGCAGATGAAGAATCAGCCGGAGATTGACACGACAGCAGATCAAGAGAGAGTGTTGCGGAGGAGTTGTCATGAAGTAACTCTCAATCAATATTTGGTATTAATGGAAAATATATTCCAAAAGTCACGCATTTCACTCTTGCAAAAGCTTAGTCTTGTTTATATTTGGGAATGATGTAGGCATGTGATATAGTGATTAAAACAGTAATGTATTATTAACAGATTCTTTTCTGGTCTAAATATTAAACATACGAGACAATATATTGGAAATTATAAGACTTGACTACTTCTTGTTATTATTGAATTTATTTTTGTATGCTTGTTCAAATTAACTGAACAACTTTATTTTTAGTTTCTAATCTTAGTTATTAGATGAGATATTCGACACATTAATTGCATTTCAGCTTTGATCTTGTCTTACAATCTTACAGTACACTAAAAAGAATATTAACATTAAGGTATATCCAGTTCAGTACGATTGCAAGGACCGCAATCCCACTAATCTAAATAATAGAAAAATAATACAATTTTGTATAATGGCTAAAAGGTAGAATCAGACACACCACTGAACACCATCATTTATTACTCTCGTTATATTTAGTTCCAAATTTATGTAGAAATGTATAAAATCTTCAATAACTTCATCATGTGGAGAGATTTTGATTGAAAACATCAATGAAAATAAGGGTTTTCTAAAAACTTGTCACTTTAACAAAAGCCTTGATCAGATATTGTTGCCTAACAAAGTCTGTGAGAATAAGTCAGTTAACAAATATTTCAACCATTATTGTTGGCTAGACTTTACAAGAGTACTTATAATTCAATCAAGGTCCTTCGGGCATAAAGTCAAATAAAAAGCACCGAATTGGCAAATTGCAAAACTATTTCCAGAGTACTGATTAAGCTATTTTTAGTATTTTATGATATAGATTCAATATTCTGTTCTTTTATGAATTTTAGTAAGATATATGGCCCTTATTGGTCAACCTGATTGTGCACTTCACAATCCAATTACTCTTAAATAGCAAAATCCCATAAATTGACATTGTGGCCCACTCATGCTTTTATATATTATTCAATTTTACTTTGTATTTAATTTTACTTTGAAATTAATATGTAAAATAAAACTGATGTTCTTGAATAATTCTTTTTGATGAGAAGTACTATATTACTTGACAGTACATGCACTATACTGAAGAATGACATCATAGGGTTAAGAGGCATAAATCCTGATTTAAAAATAAATTGTCTGAAATGTAGCTTTGTCTGCCTTCAACTTGAGGCAGAAGAGTACTTTGTTTGAATGACTAAAACCTGCAAATCGCTTTAAAATGCAACATGTGGACATATTTTATTTTTACATTTTCATACAACCAACAAGATTATGGGGAGATATATCATTTCGAACCACAGTTATTTAGAAACCATCCAAAATTAAATTGTCGGCGACAATCCAAGCGCAATTGAAGGAACAATCCTCATAATGACACATTTATCGGGAGAATTTGTACACGATATATGCCCCATTTGTTCACCATTGTATCTTCTTTCATAATAGCTCAAAATATTACAGTTGACCCTGAAACAACCAATGATTGCATTTTAAAGCTATGTGCAGGTTTCACAATTTTAATTTCACAGATCAGACTAAGTCTTAAACAGAGGTAGATCAACAAATGTGAGTGATTATGCCAATTTCTTGTTTTTCACATATCTACATACAAAATCTTATTTTACAGCCAAGTCTGTATCATCCTAGCCATGATATATGCAAATGACAGTGACCATAGTGAGACACAAAGGTGACATAGAATATTATGAATTATTTTCCCAAAGAAACTAAGGCAATCAGATTTTATCTAGTTTACTCTGATCATAGCAAGAATGTGAAGGACCATGTACAAAGTCAGTGTGTCCTGAGCATACTAATGGAAAAATTAATCTTTTGCATAACATATTCAATAATTTATACAACATTTCAAGCTTCAAAAGACATGGAAATCTTAATCTGATAAAATCCATGTTTATCATGACTAGATCAACTTGAAGCTACGACAGGATCATATCAGGAATAATGCTGCAGAGCATTGTGTTATGAGAATGAAGTGGTGAATCATTCATCAGTTGTTTCATTTCATTTTTTAAATGGCACAATTGTTTGAGTCACACATAAATTGGTACAAAAACATTCACAGAGACTTTTCTATAAGGTTTAAAGTGCTTCGATTTAGAACTAAACCAGGAAGATGTTGCATTTATTTGAGATTTTGAAATCAACCTAAATACACCTACAATATAACTTGAAAATAGGAACAATCCTGAAAAGTTGGCATACTTTGACCAACTGAGGGAGTTCTGACCACAGTTGGTCAAAGTATGCCAATTTTGAATGAGAATCTTGAGGCAACTTGTTACTTCAAATGCTGGGGAAAACATTGATGTGTTTACTTACCTCTACAGATTTCTTAAGACCTGATGCTGCAGCATAATGCAGGGCTGTGTTTTGTTTCTGAAAATACAGAATCAGCACAAGTATAGTGCACATTGTTAATTTTGATCATAGGCTTATCACAGTACACAAATTTTTGAGGGGCAAGGCCAGAATCAGCATTGCACAACCAACACTCTTATACACAAGAATTTCAATTGTACTGGATTAAAATATACATACAGGTATGGTCCATGTACATAGGATTGTTTTACTAACAACATCTCAGTGAATAAATCATAAATGAAAAAATATAGATGGTGACTTTTTATTCTATTGAACACTCATCCATAAAAATTTGTGAATTTCCTAGTTATTAACTAGTTACCTAACAAGGCATTAACATGCAAAATGTCACCACCTGCCATTTGTTACAGATGCCGAGCACTAACCGCCGAAAGCTGACCACAAAAAAGACTATAACAATATATAACAAGGCATTGACATGACAAAATGTCACAACCTAGTTGAAGCAAGATAAAAAAGACCTATTTGACCTTGAGGAGGTCATTAAAGGTTAAATCTATTTTGACCTTGAGAATGTAATTGAAGGTCAAATCTATAGTCAGATTTGAAATGTTGAGAACTTGTAGATGATTTTGAAAAAAAATTGGTCAATTTACAGCAAGTTGAAAAAAGACCTTTTTGACCTTTTTTGACCTTAAGAAGGCCATTGAAGATCAAATCTTAAATACAAAGTCAGATTTGATCTTCTGAAAACATGATTTTAAAAACAATTGAATTGAAGTCAGTCTATACAGTATTTGTTAAATTATTGTAAGTTGTAAGAATTTGTTACAGACGCCAACCGCCGATCGCCAACCGCCGATCGCCAACCGCCGACTGCTGTCAAAAAAACGGAGATCATAACAATATGTCACCACTTTTTTGAGGGTTGCATTTTTGGGTTTATCCTGCACTGTATAGTGGAGATTTGTGATACTGGAAAACAAAATCTAATAAAGGTTAATTGAAATAGAAATATTATAAATTTTTATATCATTTTTGTTATAATGTAAATAAAAATAGTCTAATAATGCCTCAGCAATTATTGACTTTCATGAGCCAGTTTCCTTATAAGCCATGTTTTCCTGGAGCAGTGCATTTGATAGCAGTTAAATCTATATCCAATATAATATACATGTACCAATAAAAGTGGGGTGCAACACACATGTGTGCTACCCAGAGCCATTTATATTGATCTGGGGCTGTATATTTTTATGCACATACATAATCAATGTATAAATATGAGTTAATAAGGGAGTAACATGATGCCAGGCCTCTAGGCCAGTAGATTTGAAATCCTTATGATACATGTATATCCGGAATGAAATGAAGACCAAACTGAGGAATGTATTGGGGCTATGTTCTAGAAAATAAAATGTACCCATACAAACAGTGTGGTACAATTAGGAATATTCTGGTACCATTCCTGATAATCATTTCTGTAGGCTACAGTACAGAGAGCAGGAAGTGAATCTCAAGAGGTAGTTCTATTCTGATGAGAATTCTTGGACAAATTAACCTCTTACTATAAAATATGTGAGTTTTATCAACGATTCTTGAGTTTGCTGTTCTACATAATTTAGAATATGTTGTACTTATTCTACTTGGCAACAGCTATATTCAAGTCAGTGCAGAGTGATCTACCCTGGATTATGTGGATGGGCATTACACTCCCTTGTAATTTGAAAAAAAGGTTAACAAGGCATTAACATGACAAAATGTCACCACCTAGTTGCTCACAATATTATGAGTTCAATCATAAGTAAGATTTGAATTTCTGAGAACTTGTAGATGATTTTGAAAAAATAAATTGGTAAATTTGAACAAGTAGAAAAAATACCTTTTTTGACCCTGAGAAGGTCATTGGAGGTGAAATTTCAAATCTAAAGTCAGATTTGAACTTCTAAGAACTTGTGGATGATTTTGAAAACAAAATTAGTCAATTTGAACAAAGATGAAAAAATACCTTTTTGACCTTGAGAAGGTCATTCAATGGTCATTTCTATAGCCAGATTTGAACTTTTGAGAACTTGTAGATGATTTTGAAAAAAAAAATTGGTCAATTTTAAGCAAGATGAAAAAAGATCTTTTTGACCTTGACAATCTCATTGAAGGTAAAAGATTTTTTGACCTTGAGAATGTCATGCTTTCATCAATTTTTCATAAAAATATCAATTTTTCAAGAAACAATTTCAAGCAGCCTTTGACAATACAATGCTGACAAGTTTATTAAACCATACTGAACGGATTTTGGTATACTTCCTAGTTTTGCCTTGTCGCTTTTCAGAAAAATTGACTCGGCGCTTTTTTAATTTGCCTCAAACCAAAATTATTATCCATTCAATCCAAACTGTTTATTTTTGGAGAACCATCCTCACCTCATCCTGTCCTCCAAGATCAGCTTTCTCCACCTCCCCATCCTTCAATGTAGCTCCTTTCCACTGTAAGATGAGCATGAGGCACTCAAGTCTGCGCTGCTGCACGGAGAAGTTCTGACCATTCATGGCCATACATACACAGTGGAGAGAGGTCTCATTGCGACTGTTCTTCTTGTTAGGATTCCCCTGGAGCTCATTCAGGAAAATTCTACAAAGTATACAAATTATTTTAACATGAATTGTTATTTATAATGTAGAATTAATGTTTTATACATAATATCAAGTATACATGTATATTCGCTATTTATTAGTAAGTGACATTTCAATTTACACTTTATTAGGTTGTAGTCTTGCTTCAACCACCTGTGACCTCCAAACACCTCACCAAGGATGGGAAACCAATTGTGACCTCCAAACACCTCACCAAGGATGGGAAACCAATTGTGACCTCCAAACACCTCACCAAGGATAGGAAACCAATTGTGACCTCCAAACACCTCACCAAGGATGGGAAACCAATTGTGACCTCCAAACACCTCACCAAGGATGGGAAACCAATTGTGACCTCCAAACACCTCACCAAGGATAGGAAACCAATTGTGACCTCCAAACACCTCACCAAGGATGGGAAACCAATTGTGACCTCCAAACACCTCATCAAGGATGGGAAACCAATTGTGACCTCCAAACACCTCACAAAGGATGGGAAACCAATTGTGACCTCCAAACACCTCACCAAGGATGGGAAACCAATTGTGACCTCCAAACACCTCATCACGGATGGGAAACCAATTGTGACCTCCAAACACCTCACCAAGGATGGGAAACCAATTGTGACCCCCAAACACCTCACCAAGGATAGGAAGCCAATTGTGACCTCCACATACCTCACCTCACCAATGATAGGAAGAGATGAAGGGGGCTAGAAAGTTGATGCAAGATAATGAGATTTGTACTAGTCATGAACCAAGCTCCTGTGGTGCCTCTCCTTTCTCGTGATCTCCCTAAGGGACAAGATCAAAATTTGAATGTTATTCTAAAATGTTATTCAGATTGACCCCCTCCCTCTCCCCCTGGACTATCCTTCAAGTTTCACCACTCCTCACTTAGTTTCACACCACCAAAAATCATCATTATTTAGATTGACACTTTAATTATATAACACTATTTGAGAGCAGAAGGTTTAGGCACTCACAAATTCTGATCAACCGCTCATTTAAAAAAAATCTAACAATCGCTTTGCAAAAATTATGGAGAACCCAGACTAGGTGTTTAACTTAATTTGTATTACTAAAACACTGTTAAAATAGAAAATATTTATTTCGTGAAATCAAAGAGCGTAATGACACAAGGGAGTTTCAACTAAATGTCAAATACAAATAAAAACATGATTTCTACTCAGGGACTAACGTTTGACATTTACATCAGTGAAGAACACTCATAATGAAGCAATATTACGCATGCACATTGCGTCACTTGAAAAGTTGTTTTTAACATGACAGTCAAACAAACCATTTTAATTTTTGGAATATGAAGGATGCCTCAAAAACGTATTCAATTATCTGTGCCTAACACTGAATCAGGATCAAAATTCATAGTTTACATGTCCGTGCAAAAATGGTGTTATTTGATTGAAGAGCTCTCATGTAGGGTGCCACCTCATCTACATCCGGGTTCTTTCCCATTGCATTACACAGGGGTGTGATTTTCAATGCCGCACTGCGGCTTTATTAAACATGTAGAGTTGCATTTGCCTAAACGATAGATGTATGTAATTAAGATATACAACAAGGCTTTTTGAACTACAATCCTCAAATCCGAAGAAATCTGTAGTTAAAAATGCAATCCAAAAGGTTACTTTGAATCTCCGATTATCTTTCTGATTATTCAATAGATTGGATCATATATCTATGCTTGAGGTCTGATGGAAGATCGGAAGCTGAGAAACTGTCATTTTGTCAAGATTCACGCTAGTTATACCAGAATTTGCTGAAATTTTGTTCGAGTAATAGGCTGCCATTTTGATGCTATACATACGCCATGATGTAATCATCGACCAATGAAATTAGCGGATCGTGACCTTTGACTTTGTAATATTCGGAAGTTTCGTTCAGAGTAATCGACTCGTTCGGCAGGCCAATGAAAATTTGTCCCTTCCAAAGCAATGCATCATGGGAGATATTTAGGTTTTCCACCTGAACTCTTATAGCGAATTGGAGTTTTATGCATTAGCATTAATCTGCAGTCTTGCATCACATTTCTACCCTCCTATTACTTGTTTCCCCTACTCTACCTTTAGTTGATTAATCTCTTACTTAGCTGGGAAAGGGGTGCTATGTAAAAGCCTGTCTGAAACTCATCTAACAGTGTTTTTATATCTAATATTTAAGGTAGATATACCCGCAGCTCAGTCTAATAACCTAATAAGCTGAGCATTTGTTTCACATTTTTCTTTGACGCAGACATCCAGTCTATATAGTACATCCGAATTATATTAGACGGAGCTTTCTAGTTTCTGTTAGATTCAAGACATGATTAGATAATGACGTAAAAAGGAAATACTTGACAATCACAGGTAGTAATCAGTCCTTTGTAACCTACATCAACAAGAAATATGAGATGATGAAACATTCAATAGATATTGCAAGAAACGCACAGGTTATTTTTCTCAGAATTGAACTGAATGAAAACTACTTATTTTATTCTGGCGCTTTCCAAAATGCCAAAACTGGATGACTTTTCAAATGGATATCCAACTTGAATATAGAAAATTAGCGCTTGGTGCACAAATATACAGGGGCTGTTTGACATTGAGTTTCTAAGTATGTTACACTTTTAATCAGATGTTTAGGTTAGTTGTGTTTTTGAAACATCTTTGTCTTTTCCTTTTTAGAACTTGTGCTTATATATTCCATGGACCTCTTTCCCCAGAGGTTCATGAATATTCATTCATTAAATATTTATAGCTATATCAAGTGACCGCCTACTTTATTTGATTTATCATCATGATGTTGAATTTTTAAAATAATATCTACTTCAATAAATCAGGTCTCTAGAAAATATGATCAATATCTGACCTATAATTCTCAATTTCTTGTAATATATCAATCTCTTGTAGTAAAGCACAGATGCCTTTTATTCTACATGTCCTATGTGACATTTTGCAGCACCTCTTTAAGAAAATGGCTAAGAAATGTCAAAATCGAATCAGCCATTATGTATATTTAAAGGAATATTCCTTGCCAAACCATCTCTCTCCTCATATGGTAGCTATAACCATATATATGCTTGCCATGTTTAGCAAAACACGCAAAAATGTTTTGATATGGTCAAATTTGATCACTTAGAAATGTGATGCTCAATTCCAGTAAGCTGCCATCTTTTAAAATTTTACACAGGAAGTGATGTCATCGACTCTCAACTTTGCATATAGCATTAGGTGAGGAGCTATTAAGAATTACAAAACCAGCTAAATATTCTTTTTCAACTTTGTATCTTATTTAATCCTTCTGAAAATCTCTTCTTTTATTCTAAGTTGACAAGCCCTGAAAATATTTGTGCACAGAAAGTTATGATCACTTGTCTAGAAATGATTTTGTGCTACTTTCCTGTACTGTTATGGGCAAGGTTATAGAAGTTGAGAGTTGATGACATCACTTCCTGCAAGAAATCTTAAAAGATGGCAGCTCACTGTTTTCCCATGTTTTGGTAAATATGGAAACTATACATATGATTATAGCTACCATATCAAGAGAGAACGGGTCTGGCAAGGAATATTCCTTTAAGATATACAAGGCCAACATCAGGTTGTGATCTCCTGAAAAACAATTCTAAAAATACTGATTTTCAAAGTAATACTTCCTGGGACTGAAATATGCAGATTACAAGAAATAGCTTGAAAAATTTGAGTAAGCAACCCATAGACCTGTCAATTAGTCATCTGCAGCAAATACGCCACCTATATTCAGAGAAGAAATACCTCATTTTATACCTCCAACCTCATTCTTAGAATTAAACAGCTAATTGGCTAACACCTCGGGATAATTCGCTTTTTGTTTTATGAATCCTTCCTTGATATTCTCTATCTAATTACAATAATAAATAAAAATGAGGGTAGTCCATTAAACACCTGCTACAGATATTACCTATAATAGTAGAGATATATCAACAGCAATGAAGCAGCAATTGTATGGTACACTTCGTACTCAAACTTGAAAATCTATCTCTTCTAAGATCAAAAATTTGGAAAATCATGAGAAATTAAAGATATTCCTTGATCATAATTGGTTGAAATACTGAAGAGTTAATAGGTGCAACTTATATTTAAGTGCCATCTATTAACAACCCAAAATATTAAAGGATGCTATCTATCTACTACTTTTTTCATGGCCTGACTTCGTCGCTTACATGCTAAATGTAAGAGTTAGCTGACGTTTGGAAGTCTGACTTACCTTCTAAAGGTTAGAACCCGAATCTTAATGAAACCATATCACCTTTGTTGCGTCGATGATGATGCATAAACATAGCATTTGATAGAAATTAGTGTAAATGCTTTTCCGACTTTTTCATTTGTAGTTATCACGAAATAACGCATTGACCCTTGAACTTTACTTTGTTGACGTGTCAACCAAGCATGTCTGGTGTGAAAATTAAAAGAATATTAAGCAATGTTCTACATCCACCAAGCTAAGTGAAGTAGTCAATATTCAAAATTACCAATTTCAAGTGAAGTACGCAACGAAAGAAACTGCATGATCTACACTCCCACTATTGGTCTGAATGAAATGCTACGTAGAAATATGAGCCGTCTGCTGTATTAGTCGATTAATAGAGTAAGACCTGTTGGTGATGCTTTATAATTTAGACCAAAACATTGAAGAACAAACGAACCTGTAAATCGTGAAAACAACGAACAAATATTCGGTTTTCACATATGTTCGGTAATTTTTCGTATTGAAACTTCCGGAACTTACAAGGAAATCATTCATTTTCTCGGTCCATGATTTACATCTTGGATGTTATGGTAAATGCTCCATGGTTGACGGAACAAAGGTGATATGGTTTCATTAAGATTCGGGTTCTAACCTTTAGAAGGTAAGTCAGACTCCCAAACGTCAGCTAACTCTTATATTTAGCATCTTAGCGACGAAGTCAGGCCATGAAAAAAGTAGTATATACTGATTGTCTGTAATATATTTTATTGATCTGGCACTTGCAGATACTATCTGTAATTACTCTTAGGTCAGATGTCCATGTTATTACATTCTTTGCATAATAAGCAGTAATACACTAAACCAACATCTAATTTTATGTAACAATGTTATACCATATTCTCTCTATTAAATCTAACAGTGCATCTTCCAAATGCTCCCATAGACTAATAAGGGATAATAGGGTAAAAATGAATTCTACTCTCAATACTTACCTTTCAGAATCTCGTAAAGAGGTGCCTACCCCCTTATAAGCACCTATCGAACTTATCAAATACCAGAGTATGGAGGGAATAACTTTGAAGATTGAATAAATCATAAGGAAATTCTTAAAAAAATCAGGTGAGCAATACTATTTTGGTAGTTATCAATCGCTATATGCTTTTCAGAGCCAAATATGACACAACAAATAGTGGTTATTATCAGCAGTACATTCAAATTAGATGATTTTTTACTTTCTGGTTTGGTACGATCCTTCGATAAAGACACAAATTTTTGTAGGCAACTTGTCAACAGTGGAATTTCACTGTTGTTCAGGCTGATACTTTTTGATATTTCATATATATACTTTTCAAAGAAACATGGATGTAAACTTTACATTCATTGGAGTAATGTGTTTATTAGAGAGAATACGGTAATATGTCTTTACCACAGAAACATCTTAGAATACAGAATTGATTTGTGGTTGAACTGATTTAGGTAATTTACCTCAATTAGCAAGTCCTGTATTATGAGCATTTGCCAGTAGTATTCCATTCAATAGAAAAACAGTTATTACATGTTTCCATCTAAAATATACCTAACTTTTAGCACTTTATAGACTAGACTCGCTGAGTTTCCCGATGGTCTGCCAAAAAGGGAATACAAAGTAGAGCATATTCAGGGAAATGGTCAGGATTAATTAGAGTAAAACAACATAATAGTAATCTCACCTCAACAATGACTTCATCCCATGCTTGGCCGCATAATGCAGTGGTGTCTCATGGTTGTAATGATCCCCATATGATATGTTAGGGTCAAGGCCCTTACGCAAATCAGAGCTATTGTTATAGAGGTGTAGAGCCGCATACTCATCCCCTGTCTGTAAATGTTTGCGGAACTTTGTAGATGCACTTCCCATATCTGTTGTGTCAGGCTCCTTACTTTCTTATAGGGCTTAATTAATTGTGTCTAGTAGGGTAAATGAATCTTTACTACTGTCCCTGCATTTCATTTAAGACATATCCCTGGATTTCAGCTTTTGCATTAAAATCAGGTTACTCGGTCTTAATTGTTTGATTTATATCAAATCTAGTCCCTAGGTTCAAGGTATCTGATGTTAAGACAGGTCCCTCTTTCTACAGATCCTTGACTCTTAGGTGTCAGATTTTCTGAACAGGACCTTTGGTCTAAAGACAGGCCTTAGGTATCGTTCCTATAGCTAATTCAATGCTATATATATGATATATGATTATAGATTTTATGTCATACATTCCCACAGCGTTAATATAAAATAGAGCATGAAACGCTAAATAATATATGAAATGACCATATTATACTATATGAACTTCCCCGCAATCAGCTGTTTCCATTTGATGGTCCAGACAAATTATGAAAACTTCAATCATTAATTGTTTCAGTTGATCATCAAACAGATTCGGCACTCCTAAACTGACTGGATATAATTGCACATTCTGTGTAATATCAAAGTTCAAACACAGATCAATACCACCAATATTTCGGGTAATCACTGCAGAATTGTAATATTAATTGAAAGGGAGACCATCTGGTATTGTTTGTGCCTTGTAGCCCAGCTTGTAGGTAGTTTCAGCCCTGCCAACAATTAATGCAGCCTTCATAGTTTAACAATAAAAATTGTTCCTTTGTTCAAGACTGTGTAGTCCTTTGTTCAGTTGGATCTGTGAAGACTGAAGTAAACACGCATGCTGATTGCAGCCCAGCCTACGCTAGTGTGAAGAGTCCAGACACACGTCTGAAAAAACAAGGAACAAAAAACAATAAAATTACATTGTCTGTTATTACAGGTTTCTAGCTTGTGGTTATTTAAATAGATGCCTGGATGTTTAATACACACAAACTAAGAGAATTATAAGATGACACATTTCCTGAAATGAAGTCTTAACAAACCATCTCCACCTAACTAATGTGAAATACCCTGTTTGCTTCAACTAAAATGCCCTGTTTGCTTCAAGTGAAATGCCCTGTTTGCATCAAGTAAAATGCCCTGTTTGCTTAAGTGAAATGCCCTGTTTGCATCAAGTAAAATGCCCTGTTTGCTTCAAGTAAAATGCTCTGTTTGTTTCAAATAAAATCCCTGTTTGTTTTAAGTGAAATGTCCTCTACTTATTTTAAGTTTACCCTGAATCTCCATTTGTAATCTATACATGTACTTACAAAGTTATGATGCTGGTCTTACTGATCTCAAATGTAGCTCACATGACCTTAAAAAGGTGTAAAATCTATGGCTAGTCATAAACAGAAAATATAGTACAGTGAAACCTGTATATCCGAATACACTTTTTTTTCGGTCTCAAATTTGTTATTTCCTATTAACTTACATGTTAATAAAACCTTGAAATGTAAACACCTGTTAATTTGAGCACTTTTGGTCAGTCTCAGAGTTATTTGGATTAAACAGGTTTTACCGTATAATGGTTTTCCAATTACATATTCCAAAAGTGCCTCGGCTAAATTAATAAATTAAAAAGAGACTTATAATCTAAGGAGCATAGATAAATATAGTCTACCTCGTTATAATATTAAGCTAAGCACAGAAGAACTTGTAAATGGGAGCAACTTTCCTTATATTTGCTATTAATGGCTCCATTTAGGTGCGGAAACTCGTTTTTATCAATTAGCGATAAAGATAATTATCATTTATCGATAATTTTTATCAATTAGCGATAAATTTGATAATTATCAATTTTAGCTGATATTATCAGCTAATGCTAATTTCATATGTGCCTTTCACTTTTATCAATTAGCGATAAATTTGATAATTATCAATTATCGATAAATTTTATCAATTAGCGATAAATTTGATAAATATCAATTAGCGATAAATTTGATAATTTTGATACATGGCAGACATGAAATTAGCATTAGCTGATAATATCAGATAAATTTGATAATTATCAATTTTAGCTGATAATATCAGCTAATGCTAATTTCACTTATGCCCTTTTCTTCCTAACATTGACTCCAGACCCAAAATAATTATCAAATTTATCACTTTTAGCTGATATTATCAGCTAATGCTAATTTACCTGGTGCCATTTTCTATGAACATCACCTCCAGACCCAAAATTTTTTAGCGATAAAAGCTCCAGACCCAAATTTTTTTAGCGATAAAAGCGATAGTTTTGATAATTACCAAATTTATCACTTTTAGCTGATATTATCAGCTAATGCTAATTTACCTGGTGCCATTTTCTATGAACATCACCTCCAGACCCAAAATTTTTTAGCGATAAAAGCGCCAGACCCAAAATTTTTTAGCGATAAAAGCGATAGTTTTGATAATTATCAAATTTATCACTTTTAGCTGATATTATCAGCTAATGCTAATTTACATGGTGCCATTTTCAATGAACATCACCTCCAGACCCAAAATTTTTTAGCGATAAAAGCTCCAGACCCAAATTTTTTTAGCGATAAAAGCAATAGTTTTGATAATTATCAAATTCATCACTTTTAGTTGATATTATCAGCTAATGCTAATTTACCTGGTGCCATTTTCTATGAACATCACCTCCAGACCCAAAATTTTTTAGCGATAAAAGCGCCAGACCCAAAAAAATTTAGCGATAAAAGCGCCATACCCAAATTTTTTTAGCGATAAAAGCGATAGTTTTGATAATTATCAAATTTATCACTTTTAGCTGATATTATCAGCTAATGCTAATTTACCTGGTGCCATTTTCTATGAACATCACCTCCAGACCCAAAATTTTTTAGCGATAAAAACGCCAGACCCAAAATTTTTTAGCGATAAAAGCAAAAGTTTTGATAATTATCAAATTTATCACTTTTAGCTGATATTATCAGCTAATGCTAATTTACCTGGTGCCATTTTCTCTGAGCATCACCTCCAGACCCAAAATTTTTTAGTGATAAAAGTGCCAGACCCAAAAGTTTTTAGCGATAAAAGCAATAGTTTTGATAATTATCAAACTTATCAATTTTAGCTAATTTAACTTGTGCACTTTTGTCTTCGCATCGACTCCCCACCCAAAATTTTTTACCAATACTTTTGATAAAAGCAAATTGTTTTTCAGATTTAGACCAATTTATCCAAATTAGCGAAACTTTTATCAATTTTTGATAAAAACTCCCATTGAAATAACATGGGGGCTGGAGAAATTAGCAAATAAAAGTGACTTTCCGCACCAAGCTCATTAATGGAAGTTTGGATATGTCATAAATGCCAACTACTTTTGAATGCATATCTCTGATTGGAAAGCTAGATTTTGATCTACCTTATCTGACAAGGTTAGGCTAGTTCAATAATTTCTTATTAAAGAGTATACAATAGATGAGTCAAACTGTTAAAAAGGGTAGATGGTCGAGTCGTGCTCCCTTCAGTGACTTTTTTTAAATATATTACAGTTTTATATATTGTACCTAAATTACTGTAAGATCATCACTAAAATGGCCGCCATTTATATACAAGTAGCCATTTTGAAATTCGCTTCTCGAGCAGAACTTCTAATTTCATAGGGCATATGTGTACAAAATATGAACAAAATCAGGCCAATGGTATTTGAGTTATCGCCCGAACAGATGGATGGACATGCAGACGGATGGAGGCAATCCCTACATCCCTCCGAACTTTGTTTGATGGGGTTATTAATCACTTTCTTTAAGAGGACTTAAGGGCAAAATACTTTTGTATAACGAACATAAGAGTCAATCATATCCAGAACTCCAACAAGGGGGCCAATATATTGAATTTTTATTGTGACCACTAAGAAAACCAAACATACTTTATCCCCTCTACCCATTATAATCATAGCCATGGGTGCATATTGATGTATTAACATTGTTCCTATAATACACACTTGTGTCTATGCTCAGCTGTACCACTGTAAGCTATAGAGGAGTAAAGTGTTTTGTCTACAGATCTTAGTGTTTACTCAGTTGATTGTTATAAGTATTTACGTCATAGTCTTGATACGCATCCATCTTTCTCTATTCAACCTTGACAAATAAAACATGATCGTTTCCCAATGGCAATTAAAACAGAAAATAATAGAAAGGCAATCTGAAATATAGATCCAAATAGATTTAGTGTTATGTCAGAAAGCTGACCTAATTACAATGTACTATAATACTATTCCCTCGTAAAATAGTTATAGTTACTCATGTGAACCTCCCATATATATACACCATCTGTAGATGATAATATGGAGGCTCAGAGACATTGTGGCCCTCTCCATCTCTATTCTTCTGCGATGCAACAGAGATGACTCAGAGAATGGAGGCTCAGAGACATTGTGGCCCTCTCCATCTCTATTCTTCTGCGATGCAACAGAGATGACTCAGAGAATGGAGGCTCAGAGACATTGTGGCCCTCTCCATCTCTATTCTTCTGCGATGCAACAGAGATGACTCAGAGAATGGAGGCTCAGAGACATTGTGGCCCTCTCCATCTCTATTCTTCTGCGATGCAACAGAGATGGCTCAGAGACATGATTATGAACTAAGTATCCATCTAAGTATCACAATTATATCTGTTAATTAGCGTGATTTATTTACCCATAGTTTAATCTTTTTGCAGTTTTTATTACATTCTTAATATCTGCCCAATCCTATCATAACTCAGGAAGATTAAAAACAAATATAGGATTCCCCTTATCTATCAGGTTTTCTAAAATTGGAAAGCTATTCTACCCCTATAGACAAAGATATATTTACATACTGCGTAGTCTTGCATTGTTACAGAACATCAAATCATTAAGATATAATGGAATATCATGTAACATATCATACTGGTACTGCAGATTGAGTGTTACTTCCAATTCATTATCCAGATTATGTCGAGTCAATGGCTAATTTGTTTTATTTAATGATACTTTTATATGATATTAGTTGCATCTATAGCAATCTTATATGTATGCCATTCTAAAAGTTATTTTTTGTTCTTAACGGCAAGAGAGGAATATCATAAACATGTGCTTATTCAGTTTTTCCAAAAATGTAATTCTACCAAGGTCATCCCCCAGAGAGTATTGGCTGATAGGAAGACGTCATCAGAGGTGCATCAGTTAATAGAGGATATCTCCCAGAGTGCACCAGGTGAGATGAAAATGTTTCCCAGAGAGCAGCACACAAGAGAAAGATGTTTCCCAGCATGCATTAGATGAGAGGAAGATGTTTCCCAGAGAGCACCACATGAGATGTAGTAGCTGTTGCTAAGTAACAGGATCTAACACAACAGAACCTAGAAGTTTATCTTTATATGAAGATAGGTTTGTCTATGAATTCTGGTCTATATCTTAATCTTAATATGAGTATACTGTATAAATGTATGAAAACATGTGTTCTATTTCAGTAACACAAATCACAATACATTTTGAAAATTGCTCTGGGAAGTGTATCATGGATGGTAGTATTCCATACCCTTTACACCATCATAATTCATATTTTCAGAGCACAACATTCGTTTTTTGTTATCTATTTTTACCTTTCACATACTATGCTGCACTTCACCTGAAACTATTGGGCATTAGCCATTTGAACAGGCATGTAGCCAGAATTTTCCAAGGGGGGGTTCACTTTTCCAAAAAATTCTAGGGGGGGTTCACTTTGGCAAATTTGGGGAAAAATCACTCAAAAAACAGTCAGAATGGTGAAAAATGCATGATTTTGAAAGAAATTTTGGCTAGGGGGCGGGTTCGCCCGAACCCCTCCTGGCTACGGGCCTGTTCAATGAGTATTAGCAGAGGGTGCTTTCACACAACATAGCATCCT